TGTGGGTAGTGACAGATCTACATTCTTGAGTATTGACATGCGATCTGAGTGAGGAGTCCTCCTGCTGGCTAAGTCTTCAGCAGTCTTAAATCTGGAGGGAAAAAAAAGACTGTCCATGGACCGTCTACCAAATAGAGCTTAGTTAAACAAATTGACTCCACTCCAAAAGAATTCACTGTCGCTCCCATTCAAACACACAGCACAGGAAAACAGCTCTGTTTATTGTTTCAAGCTCTAGAAAATCGCTGCTTTGCACAGTTTATCATCTGGTTATGCAAATTTTACATGCAAGACATAAATCATCAGGATGTGCACAATATTACTGAACGATTTAACAACATGAACATGACTTTAGACATAGGCCTATCTAGATTATTTTACAAAATAAACCTTGAAGTGAGAAGTTTGCTTTTAATTATTAACCAGCCAAAAGCACATAATCTTATAGTGGAGGCCACTTTAAGTCACTCAGTCAGCCATGGATTGGAGAAGTTACATGCATTATGCAAATACAAGGTTAAAGGGATGTTGCGTTGTAAAATTGATTTAGGGTCAAACACATCGTAACACCGAGTTAGACACCCCGTTGAGAGATGAATGTTACTGACCACTTGCTTCTCTAGTTATACCAACTTTAGTAACAACTGCATGATAGCAATACACAGTGGTCAATGTCTCCACGCGCAAACCTCAACCAAAAAGCCACTCTATAGCCACAAATAATGCTCAGAACAGCACCTAACTTCATCAACAGTACAAATAGGGTCCCAGCCACAGCACTAGCCATCAAACATCTTTTTAACTTTGCAAAGAGACTAAAGACAACTCACCTACTCTCTTCCAGCAGCCGCTTGTTTGTAGCGAGACCTCAGACACGTCCATCATCGACTGCAGCAGGGTGATGCAGCTCAAGGAAGAACATTTATGATAATTTCTTAATCATTATCATGAAGTAATAATCACCATATTAATCAATTTGCACTGCAGACACGGTAGTTCTTCTGCCTTAGCGTCTTTTGTCTGATTGAAGAAATGATCATAATTGTTCTTCCTTGAGCTGCGTCACCCCGCTGCGGTAATGGACTCGCCTGAGATCTCCATACAAACAAGAGGCTGCTGGAAGAGAGTAGGTGGGTTGTGTTTAGTCTCTTTGCTAAAGAAATCAGGCAAAGTTAAAAAGATGTTTGGTGGCTAGTGCTGTGGCTGGGACCCTATATGTCCTGTTGATGAAGCTAGGTGCTGTTCTGAGCATTATTTGTGGCTATAGAGTGGCTTTTTGGTTAAGGTTTGTTTATGGCTCCTCAGACTGCTGTGTATCACTATCTTGCAGTCGTTACTAAAGTTGGTATAACTAGAGAAGCAAGCAGTCAGCAACATTCATCTCTCGAGGGGGGTGTCTAACTTGGTGTAATGGTGTGTTTGACCCTAAATTAATTTTACGCCTGAATATCCCTTTAACTCTGCCCTTTATGTAAGATTGTCCTCCTCTGGTTTAGATCTGTGGATGAGGAAGAGTTTGGAAATGAAAGTTTATCTAACATGAGAAGCTTGGAGCGAAATCTCTTTTTTAATTGATGTTTGAAAGGTACCAGGTAAGAGCCCATCAGATATGCTTAGTTTTAGTGGATAAAAATGACACATTTCGTTAAATCATTTGCAGAGCTTTCCAGAAGATTTACTGTTATTTGGCTCTCCTGGAGACAGCCTTGTTATGCACCTGTCCCGTGGAGCTACATGCCAGCACAGAGTAGTCCTCTCTTAGTTTGTGTTTATGCTTCCAGAGTGTAAGTGTGTGATCAGAGTGTTGACACCACTCCTGCCCCAGTGTTTGATTTTTTTTGTGAAGCACAAACACGTCAGTACTCAGAGATCCTCTGCAGGCTGAGACACCTCAACAACACAACATCTCCAGTTTTCTCCGAATCAAGAATGCATGAATGCGTTCACGGCAAACAAAAACAGTGATTAAAGAGTGTAACAGGATCAGCTCTAATCAGCATGTCTCGAAAAAATGCCGAGCAGGTTTCAACCATTGTCAGGTCACTCCAAGAGGTGATCTCTCTCCCTATTAATTATGTGTTGTGCCGCAGCAGCAGCCGTCTTCACCAGTGAGAGCGACCTTCTCTGCTTTCATATGTCTGTGCAGGATGATCAAAACATCACAGACAGACTGTGTGGAGGATCCAGCTCAGCTCAGCCCGGTGATGTGCCTGCCCTCTCATTTCCCTGACAGAGAACAAAAGCCACCTCAGACCCTGTGTCACTCACAGATAGAGAGAGGGAGAGCTTCTGTAGGCGAAGAAGGGAAAAATAACCATTATCCAGAAACAAGTTCTATCATGTGATGAATTCTGTTTTCTCAAGCCAAATCCTTCAGTACCTACCTGTTAAAAATATTCAGAGCTTGTAATAAAGATTTAATCCTGGGATAAAGATTGGGCAGAGCTTCAAGAGACAGAAGAAGAAGAAGAGAGGAGAGTGATGATCAAGCATTTTGGGATTATCACAAATGGAATAGTTCAATGACATCCTCTAAATGACAGCTCCTTTTGTTGTCCACAGTGTGACAGGCCAGGTGGGATGGAGATCACAGGCTTCCTCTGTGAATACACTGAGGCAATGCTGCCCTCTGCTGATCACTATGAAAACATCCTCTAAACTGTTTTTCTGTCCTTCATCTTCCCTTAGGATGCCTCACATCAACATTTATTTGACCCTTTAAGAATTTATCATTCAAGTTAGTCACTGATGCTGTCAGTTACATCTGTCACCCCCAAATCAGCAGTGGCAGGCAGCTGTCTGACATGAGTCTGGTCCTGCTCAAGGTTTCTGCCTGTTAAAGGGAAGTTAATCAGTCATGTTGGATGGGATGGGTCAAATCTTTACCCTCTAAAGCTTGGGTCTTTGTAATACATCAAATAATAAGCGTGGTCTAGACCTGCTCTTTTGGAAAGCATCTCGGGATAAAGACTGTTGTGATTTGGCACTATATAATAAAAAATAATCGATTTTAATGATTGATTTATTATCAGTTTACTTTATATGCAGAAGACCAAGGTCAATGAGTACTGTTATACTCATTTTGCTGTATTGAGAAGCTGTTTGTGAAGTTTTTAAAATCAGAACTTTACTTTTACTTAAAGCTCCTGTGAGGAACTTTCTGTCTGTGTTGACTTTGGCGCCCCCTGTGGACAAAATGCAGTTGCTGATTTCATCTCATTCTTGTGAAAGTGATGTTCATTGACAAAGAATCACCCCTTGAGGTTTTTTTTTTTAAATAATAATAATTATTATTTTCTATTTAACAGTTAAATTGATCACTTTCTGTAAATATTCTCTGTGGGAGAAGAAACAAAGGCTATTACTTAGCACACAGGCATCGAAAATTACAATGTCGAAGATGCCAATCTGTCAGCGGTGGTCTCATTTCCTTTTTTACACCATAAAGACGTACCACTATTCATTTGATCCTGTTTGATAAAGTCCTCACAGGAGCTTTAAGTATTTTTTGGGAAGCTTTATACTTTGATCCATTTTACAAAGTAACAGTTACAGGGTGATAAAAGAATACTTAAAACACATTAACTGTATGAAAACCAGCTGATTGGATGTTTACATGTGAAATGTGAAAATCTAAACTAATGAGTTTGTCTTAACTGGTTAAATAGTCTATTAAACATAATTTGGAAAGTTATATCTACAAAGCCAAGTACAAATCTTTAAAACATCATTAAAAGATATTTTACCGGTTCTCCTTTTTAAGTTCTTTCTAAGACCAAGAAACTTTGAAAGAAAACTGTGCTTGCCACATCTGCAGTAATCTATACACATTATAATACTTATATGTTTTTTTATAATTTTATTTTTAGGAATAGGACAAAAAAATGTATCAGATAACCTTCTCTTAATATCTGCTAATTTAAAAGTTGAAAGGCTTTTTTAAAGCTACTATGAGGAACTTCTGGTTTGAGTTGATTGGGGCACCCCTGTAGACAAAGTATACCTCATGTCTTGTCCTGTATACAGTATATGAGAGGTGTTTTAGGATTTAAACCTCAGCCTGAGGTCTTATTAGAGTGAAATATGCCTCTTAGGCCCAATCCCAATCTGACCCTTACATACCCGCCCTACACACTCCCCCTCCATTTGCACATCCTTGCGGAGGCTCGACCATATTGAAGGGCATCCCAAACCAAAGGCTGTGTTGATTGTACAGGCACATGTCAAATAGTAAATGGGTTCAAAGACGTGTGGAATCACTAACAATCAGAAGTATAATTTGGCTCCTGTCACTGTAATGGTTACTGGATTTATGATTTTACTGGGATAATAAAAAAACGAGGCAGTTGGTGTGGCTCAGAACTGCACGATTCCCGTTTACTAAGAAAAGAAACGCTTCTATGCACAGGATGCGTCTTTGTGTTGCTATGGCGATGAATCTTTCTGTTTTCCAGTGGAGTGAGGAGGGCGTCCCATACCTGCCCGTCGTATTTATATATTCACATTTCAATTAAGGTGCACTCCACAACTGCAAGTGTATCTTCATTACGAGTGACACTCGGCAGTGAAGAGCGAGTGTGTAGGGGGCGGTTTGGGATTGGGCCTTAATGTCAGTGTATGCCGCTGAAAAATTTAAAACGAGTTGATTTAGTTCTGACACATACCCTCTCACAGCACTTTCAAACAATAATAAATGTTACAACAGAGAAATGATCTTGTTATTGATGGTATCATTTGCTTTTGGGGGTCATAGAGAGGCATCAGTGTCAGATTCAGTCTATTTCTCTACCAGTTCAAAACTCCCTATTGTGGCTTTAATTAAATTGCAATGACCATATTGTTGCCTTTGAAGATATTTTCAAGAGTCAAATCAATACAGTTTTTAATCTTTGCTTTTCATGACGTCCTAGTAGTGTGGTAAGCTACCTAAAATGTGATAAATAAACTTTGACTTCTTTTAAAGAAACTCCACATAAAACAGAGACTCATATGGTTCAGATCCAGGTTTTATTTACAAGAGAAAAATACAAAATATATGCACTTTAGATCATATGTACACTATACATTTGTGTCATGGGGAGTTTTCATTGTGGTTTCTTTTGTTCCCCACTTGGTGTCCCTGCTTTTTACAGTCTTTGGTTAACCTCATGAAAACCAAGGTCTCCACATAGATGAGGAAGAGTTGGGTGGCGACCCCTCCCTTACAGCAGGGTGCTGGGGAGTCCTGAGTGTGGAGGGAGGGGGGCAGAGGATGACAGCTGGGCTTGGGTTAGGGACTGTGGGTGAGAAACCAAAGAAAGAGGTGTTGGAGGACAGAGGTGACAAGCTCGGGGGGAAGGAGAAGTGAGAGGCAAATGACGGGAAAGGTGGAGAGGTGGCATACGCCGAGAAAGAAGGAGAGAGCCAAGGAGAGGGAGGGGGGGACAGATAGTCATGACACGGTGTGGAACATGACTGAGGCTGGAACGGAGAATGAGATGGAAACAGCATCTTAGAGGGATCTTCTTTCTTTTCAGATGTGCAAATGAAATCAAGCGGTGTTAGATCTGACGGTCTGGCTGTTCCCGTCACTCTCTGACTGAGGTCCGACTTTGTCTGCTGGCTCTCTGTGTGATGCTTCAGCCCCTCGATCAGGTTCAGCCTCTGTGCAGGAGTTATATTGTGCATGTAGCTGGTGAGTTGGGCCACACACTGCTGAAAACCTGCAATCTCTATGGTGAGGAGGGATGGATCTTTGGACTCTGAGTGATGGGGGTCTACCGCAGCAACATGGGTCCTCTTCTGAGCATTTGCAGAGTCTGCAACAACTGAAAAGACAAAAGGGATGAGGGATGAAACAGGAGTTTAGGAGAAGTGTATTTTTTTTTTCACAGAAAAACAAGCATTATTTTTTTTATTCAAATAAACAGTCGGTGAATGATTTCTTTATTGACAAACCATTGCTTAGGCTCCTCTCCTTCGTCCACTTATGAAGATACTCCACAGCCATGTCCAGAATCTCTGCTTTCTCCACTTTGGGATTCTGTAGTCGCTGCGGGAGATGACAGGAAAACAGGAGCACAAACATTTTATCATTATGAGGGTTTGTTTCTTTGACAAAGTGAAGAGAATTGATATATATATATATTTATTTGACATACTAGATCAGACGTATGGTTCAAAAGCAAACTTCTTAGTTCAGCAAGACTTTGATTTATTCGATCTCGTCTCTTCTTTTCTACAGCGGGTTTCAGGGCCTGCAAAAGATCCACAACATGGGGTCACTTAATGAGGTGTTTCATCTGACTGATATGTCAGTAACATCTGAATTTATATACACAAACTTTAACTCTCCAAATTTAGATACACTGGATTAGATTATAAGTACTATGCCTTTTAGGTGACGTGTACACTGATCATTAAAAACATGGTGAAAAAGTTTTAGTTAAAGCCAATGATAACAGTGGCATTTTCTTTGGATTGTTTTCCATGTAAATTTTACATTATGTAATAACATTAAATGGGCATGAGTTAAAAAATCAAAACACACTCAAAAGACCACGTTAAGGTGATAAATTAAAAAGTAGGAGTTCTTACCCTTTTTCTACTTTTTCCATCCTCCAGAGCTGGAGTCTGTAGTTTCCGGGTCATGTTGCAGAGACAGGTCCTACGGTGAAAGCTGCAGCAGTGAAGACAGCCTCTTGTTGTCTGTGGGCCATTATAAGTAACCTAACGCTGCATCTGATTGGCTGGCAGGCGTTAGTGACGACACCTCAGGGAAACTAGCCTGTCTGAACTTTAATATGGCCCTAGTCTGAAATAGAAATTACATTTTGAACTAACATCACATTTTGAATATATATATTTTTAATAACTTATAAGCCTAATGATAAATATTATGCTACGATGGCTCAGATAGTCTTTGGCATTAAAAAATAAAGGCACCCTAACACAGAGGTTTTCACTTTATGTCTATTTTCATAGTTTATAATTTCTTTCCCAGTGTAAGAAAGGTAAGTCTGGCTTTTTTATGGGAAATATATTGACGAATTTTAAACTCGAATGAGTCTGAATCTGCTCATTAAACATTAATTTCATTAGGCTCAATTATTAGTTTAGTGCTAACACTTTAGTCAAAGGACCCATGAAGTGACACTATGGGAAACTTTTTTTTTCTCGTGGGAACAGAGATGAAGTGAGAAAGTGAGCAGCCATGAGGACTTTTTACGACGTGTGAGACATCAGCACTTTACATCTGGCTGAGTGGTGAAAAAGACCAAATGACGGTGGAGACGGTCCAAGTGGATAGATGAGCTTCACAGAGAGTAAGGGACTCTCCTGTTTATGAGTTTTGGGGTCAAGAATGATTAAAAAAAAAAAAAAATAGATACGATCGATAGAAGAGAAACTAGAAAGGTATCTCATGGCTTAATGAACAAAGGGGAGCATGTCACGTTTCTGTGCTGATGTGATGAAGTGTGAGGATGTTTTTAACACCTGAGTGTAAAGTGTGCGCTGCTGCAGTCAGCCTCTTGCCTCGTGTTTGGATATCAAGTGAGATCTATTTAAAATATCAAACCAGCTGCACCTTAAGGTCCGTTTGGTCGGAGCTTTTGTCGGTGTGGCCGATACACCCCACGGCTCACGATATTGGAAGTTAAGGGGGCGTTTGTCTGCTATCAAAGGACACTTATTGGTTTCCATCACAGGCTCAGGCCAGCACATTATAGGACTTATTTATGGGGCGGGTCCACGTGGCTTTAAGCCCACGGAGAGAGAGAGAGAGAGAGAGAGAGAGAGAGAGAGAGAGAGAGAGAGAGAGAGAGAGAGAGAGAGAGATGTCAGTTTTTATTTGGTCAATTTAAGATATCAGAGATATCAGTTGTAGATTTTAACTCACTCGAAAACAAATCTATATTTTATGTACCTTCTTGCTCAAACTGAAATCCTTCATTGAAATCCTTAGCTTACAAACGATCGCGTTTCCTTCTGTAGGATGAGTCTCCATAGTTACCAGGAGTGATCTCTGGGCCTCCACTAATCGGCCTCTCTTTGATTGAAAACGGAAGTATCATTGCCTCTGAAAAGCGACTTAATCTACGGGATCCCTGTGATCCGATCATCCCAGTGTTATCTCCACACTTGAGCCAATTATGGGGATAAGGGGACCAGTGCAGTGGGAAGAAAGTGACAAAGAAAAACACCAGTCAACTCTGAATCCTGTCCGCATCCATTAGGCCAAATAATGCAACTCAGGCGTTAAAATATAGGTTACACACCTCAAAAACCCTGGATTTAAGCAGATCTTTGTCGTTGAGGGCTCTGCTCAAAGATCTTGCACCACACCCACTGAAAGACAGGCTTAACTCTACTCAACTTTATTTTATAGAGGACTTTAAATACAACCAAAGCTGACACAAAGTGCTGTACATAATAACATAAAAACATAAAACAACAATAAATAGTTTTTTTAAAAAAGTGTGTTTTTAGACGAGTTTTAAAAATGGACCATGAGGGAGTTTGTCTAATGTGGAGAGGTAAGTCATTCCACATCGTAAGAGCAGCAACAGAAAAAGCTCTGTCTATGTGTCCAACCAGGCCATACAGCTCAAAATAGAGGCTCTCTGATATGGTTTAATGCAGCTGAAAGTACTTTTAAGAAAAAAATATCCACAAAATGTATAATACACCCAAATGAATGCTTTATTTCATTCCATTGTTTAGTGTTGGGTTAGAGGAGGAAGTTTTCTGTGAGCTGTGAATCTGTGTTTTCTGATTGTAAGCCAAGGTCTCCTGTAATAACTTTCCTCTATTTTGACTTATAAGAATCTCTAAAAAATGCAGTGAAATAACTTAGGAAATTAAAATTGATTCTGCTCAATAACCAAACCTCCTCTTTCACTTTTATTCAAGGGTTTAATTTGGTCCACTCCAAACCTAATTCTATTAGTCCATATTCTTGATTAAAAAATTGTTGTGCATCCCTGCAAACCAACAGAATAAGTGTAATTATAACTGTCTTGATAATATAGCATGCCAAAAGAAGTGGTCTCCTATGGTCAGTCTTTTATATGCTATTCAACTGGTACAATAATTCATTTTATTATTATTATTATTATTATTATTATTATTATTATTATTATTGCATATAACTGCTAAAAGCTGTTTTGTAAAGAACCATTTTAACATTAGAATGTCTTTAGGTGATTCAGAACATTCACAGCTTTATATTTGAAAAGAAAAAGTAACACATTTCAACAATCTGAACTGAAACTCTGATCCTCTCATCAGACTCCTATATGGCTCAACTTACTGCTGAACTACTATTATGACTTTATTGGTCCTCTAAACTAAAATGGTGGACTTTTATGCCAGGTTTTTGACCTCGTGTTGTAGCTCATAGATACCACAATTGATGTAAAACAAGTTTAATGATCTTTTTTGGTCTGAACTCAATTCTAATAAAACTTAGGACAGACAAAATCACTTTCAAGAGTGAAATATGTTCTTTTGGAAATAAATGTCACAGACTCCATGAATTGATGCCCATCTCCTAAATATTTGGTCACATGATCAATTTCTTTTACCATTTCCAAGCAACAGGGGGTGGCTCAACTTACCCTTTGGCTCAATTTACCCCACTCTCCCCTATAGATAAAGCACCAACACGTCCCACCTGGCCCTCTTTGGTGTCAGGGCCGCGTGCCTCTGAATGACTGAGAGGCGTGTCTCTTGTGGGCGGGGCTACCTGCGTGGATATCAACAAAATGCAGCAGGGCACACACATGTAGGTTTTTTCTTTGGATTCATACGAGACAGACGGGAGTCGACTTCAAACATGAAGGCTTTAACATCACCAGGAACTCCCCATGGGAAACACCGGACCATGAGGAGGGTAAGTTGATGCACCCAAACTAACCCTGAACGTTAGTTTGAAAAGTTATAACTGTTGGATCGTGAGTGGTGGTGTGAGCAGAGACAAACAGTTAAATTGGAACTTCACAGTGGCTGCTTTTTTATTAAATAAAACACAGTGTTAGCGATATCATACATGCCAAAGCGGTGTCACGGTTAACTGGGTTGAGGATTAATGAGAAAAAGGGAATCACAGGAGGTTAATAATGGCGTCGACTCATCTCGTACCCGTCTTCCTCACTGACCACAACACGGGCGCCACTCAGTGACGTCCGCCGACGTTAACGTTGTTAAAGGAACAGTACGAAGACAAGACCCCTTTGGCTTTTGTAACAAGATGTTTGGTTAAGTTATATTTTTTCCTCCCTAGGTGTCCAAGCCTGTGATGGAGAAACGCAGACGGGAGAGGATCAACCACAGTCTGGAGTCTTTACGACTGTTGATGCTGGAGAACACAGATGATGAGGTGCGTTCACGGCCGTGCGTAATGCTTCTATCGTTAATCTATATTCGTGCAGTCGGGCTTAATCTAACAGCTGTACCACATATTTCTTTCCCAACAGAGACTGAAGAATCCAAGGGTAGAGAAAGCAGAAATCCTTGAGTGTGTTGTACAGTTCCTGAAGACAGAAAAGGAAGAGCAAAGAGAGCACAGGGCCACGAAGAGAGCTCGGACTGGGGAAGAGAGTCCGACCGTTTCCAGCAGAGAGAGTTTTCACAACGGCATGAGGTCCTGTCTGTTAAGAGTCAGTCACTTCATAACCAACCAAAGCCAGGAATCTGAGAGAAACGGAGAAGATCCAGTCCGGACGTCCTTTGAGCATCTAGAGCCAAAGACTCATCCCTCATCTCCTCGACATGCCCAAACACCCACTCCGCAAAGTGTCCAGGCTGCTTTGGCGCCAAAGAATCTGTCCCTGCATCAACGCGGTTTCTTCCACCCATACAAGCGATCCATGTCTGAACTCCACTGCGACACTAGTCTGTTGCTCTCCTCCACGACAGGCTTTGCGCACAGCACGGACCCCGTGTGGAGGCCATGGCCCCAGTGACGAACACTTGAACCAGTTGCTCTATGAGATTTGTGTTCAGATGCTGACAGACTGTGTAAATATGTACTTCTGTTGTACAGCCTGAAGCCTTTGTACAGAAAAGATATTTTTCCCAGCAGCTTAATCGTGGATTGATAGAGATTTTATCAACACTCTGTGTAGTTTTTGGTGTTGAAACTCCATCCTGTTTTTGTTTATATTTTTTTTTCTGAATTGAGCTGCAAAACTTATTTTTTACTATACGTCGCCCTATGATGGTTACTTTTTTGTAACCACCAACCATGTGCCTGGTTGGTGTTACTTTGACGCGTGCGTAAATCAGCTCAACTTTGACATAGAATTTATTTTTGATATCTCTGCTTTGTGATCCAGGTAAACAGATGTTACACCAGAGTAGTTATGTCCTTCTATTGTCTGTGATATCTGTCCCCTTTTCCAATAAAGCACGATTTCCTGATCACACCCAATGTTTCAAGTGGCCTTTCTGCTGCCTGAATACCTGTAGATGGGCAGGCTTTGGTGCTGTACAAAGTGGGGCATCCACGGAACAGTTAACAGGTACTTAGGTGGGAGTTAGACAAGAGTTATGAAACATTCGTCTATTGAAATGCTGATGCTGGTGGGTCTGGCTTTTATGATCTTGAGAGTAGTTGTTCAGACGAAGAATGGCGAACTGAAGTGGTCATCCGCACATTTTCCAGCGCCAGACTGTTATGGGTGTGGTATGATACAATCTACAAACTCCAAACTTACACAAGCACCATGCAGACAATCTCTGTCCATAAAAAGGCGTTTTTAATGGTAGCCTTTGCATACACAGTCCTTGGCCAATGCAAGGAAGGAACTTATCTTTAGAGAATTTTACTGACGTCTGTGCGTAATCGCTTTGCTTCATTCATCCTATCATGGTGTTAATACAGTGAATATTTTCCAGAAATTTTCGGGAAGATCTATGAATGAGGACAAGGACAGTTTTGCTTTACGTAGCTTAGTCCCAAAACGCACAGAGGTATTTAAATGTCCTTTCGGATACAAGTCATGACCCACTTTCTCTGATGGACTAAATTCCTATCTGTTTGAAAACCTTCCTCAAAGCAGGTTTTAGTCCCGCTGGGCTGATCCCCATAAAGACGCTTCTTTGAGCGGCTGAAAAACCCGTATGTCCCAGTAAACCTCAATCAATAGCCCATGAATCAGATTAGTGTTTCCTCTGGAGACAATAGGAGCTAAGAGTCCATACTAACGCAGTGTAAAAATGAGGGGATATTTCACTGGAGAAGGCCAACTTCATACGTCTTAGCTATTGTCCAGGCTATGGAGGTATCACTGAGCATTTCTGTAGACATTGTGCTGTAACTTTATTCGGGAGTGTCCTCAAGTTCCGCGAAGATCGAACCTAGTGAGAGTTTTCTCAGGTATAAACATTTCAATCAGCTGGATCTGAATTTGCAAACGCAGAAACACTTAAAATAGGCTATATGATGAATCTATCACAGGCTCCAAAGGCACCAGCTTCAGCTTATTATTATCATTGCATGTTATTCGGTGCAAACTTAAAAAAGATATTTTAAGTTAAGTATCTATGAATATTTAACTTGTAGTGTAATGCCTGCGTGTGTGAGACAAAATACGCTGATCATATCATCAGGGATGGACTTGGTCAAAGTTTCACTTTTCACGTTACTGCGGAGAGTATTTTATTATTGTACCCGATTCTAACAGAAACAAGGACATATGTGATGGTTACAAGTGGCCACGTGTCAGCCAGCTGCACAGCCGCGGTGTGGCTGCTGTAAAACACGCACACCTCAGGGTGTTAATGGGCCTGCTGCCCCCCACGCGCCAGGGCCAAGGCTCGTGCAAGAAGGTGAGGGGGGCGGGGGGAAGTTTTTTCAGTCTCAATGTAGATTTAATTCAAGATAAACTTAAAAATGTCTTAAACTCACACGTAGCTTTACCTACAAAACAAAGAGTAGTTATGGACACCTGTCATCATTTATGAGAAACTAAGATATTACAGTTAATGTGGCACTGATAGTTAACCAGGAGGACTGACACATTTTAAGTGAGGAAGTTTAAACATTATTTTATATCACTTTTTTTGTTCATACATTATTCACCCATCCATTTGTTTGACTACAGAGCCTACCAAAGTTGGTTCACTGGTGATAATTTAATATCACACAACTATTTGACTGTTTGCTCTTGATTTGCATTTATTTGGATGTGTTTTAGCTCTTCAGCCTGGTGACCACTTTGTTTTAGATTATTCATGTGGCCTGAAACCTCCCCTGGTGGTAAACTGTGGGGGTAAACACATTTATTAAAGAGAACAATGCTGCACCACTGAGCCTTTTACTCCTTTGCTGTTTAGGGAGGGTTAGTAGACTCAAAACATCTGCTACTGCTGTGGCCACGTCTGCCCCAGCGATTAAAGTAACCAAAACAAGTCCCCACAGTTAAATAGTGCAGCTGATATAATTTCTACCACTGGAGAGAAACCCTGCATGTGCAACTCAAACCAAAAGAAAAGGACGGACGTTCTTGAAAAACAGTTTTTATTAGTAACAAGAGACAGTCACCATAATAACTTCAGATTATTGACAAATACATGTAGAATCTACTCAGCCTGATATTTAAGGCTTACATCATGAAAATCCCCTTCTTTTTTGCCTATGTGTTTGTGAGCATGCAGATGAACCACTTGGTTAGACTTTGCCAACAGCCAGGCCTTGAGCTTTCTGATACTCTTGCTGTAAACTGGACAGGAGTTCTCGGTGTTGTTCAGATTTCTTTTCCATGTCTTTTAGGATTGCCTCGTACCTCTGACTGTAACAGAAGAAGAAAAAGTATCCAGTTTTACCATTAAGGTTTACTCACGTTAATACTCAAAACCAGTAAACTATGATAACTGGCTTATTCAAAGTGCACCAGTGTAAAACACACAGCAGTTGAACCACAACCTAAAGAGTGGTTATAAGGTGCTTTGATACCCCTGTCTGATTTTCTCCAGAAAATTATGTCCCCAACAAGTCCTTCAGCCTTTGCTACAGTGTGGACATGGCATGGGGGCTAGAAGTTGTTCTGCAAACTTCTGCAAGCTCACCACTGCCCTCTACACGCAAGTGAGCAGGATTACACTGTTGAACTAAATACAGATCCTCCTTAAAAGAAGAACTGCTGCTGGTGTTCAAAAATGATAAATAATCTGTATGTTATTGTATGTTTTTTCATTATTCAAATTCTATATTGAGCAGGTCATAAAAGTGCAGACCTATCTGAGGACAGGTATGTGTGTAAGTGATTCCCTTTGAGTATGTAGGAGGGAAAACACACCCAAAGAAATGCCCTTATTTCAATCGTTTTTACAGGGAAGTTAAGGACTTGCTGTTGCTGTGTTAGTTTTCATATTGTTTAATATCTCAAATGTATCTGTCTTTATTGTTGCTTAATCTGTCGATATACCATGTCACTCAGGTTCCACCTACTAGCTGTTTAAATCATTTAATGCTTGCTATCTACTCAAGAGGACAGATACATAACTGAATACATTTTAAAAAATAATTATAATTACCAAAAATAAAAAAACAGTTTTGACTTGACATTTTGCTTATTTTTCAATACAAGAGAATCTTTTTAATAAGTCACTTTTGGATTAAATTCATGCAAGAAAAAAAATGCAGAATATGCTCATTTTAAATTTAGTGCCAGAAACGTGTACACTCACAGAAATATGTAGGCCTCATTACATAAAAAATTTCCATCAATTTGAATAACTCAGATTTGACATAAACAGGCCAATAAACTCTGTGTGCTGCATATTTGTCGGTCAAATGTAAATGAACCAGTTAGATTCATGTAATAACACCAATAAACCCCATGTGTTTTGAATAAATCATGACAGGTCTATGTATTCATCATTATAAAATCCAATTTGTTTCTGTCTCAAAAACTTAAACTAAATGAACCTTGATTGATCCACAGCTCATCATATTTAAGCTGTATTCATTCATTTTAATGAATTACATAATAATAATAACAATAATAATAATAAAAATAAATTTTATTTGTAAAGTGCTTTTCAAAAACACAAACACGCTGGAATTGTTTTTAGAACAACAGATACTGATTTTAACAAATCTGAATAAATAAATTCTAAAAATTTAATAATTCAAATCAAGTAGATGCAAATAAACTATGCCACAATTCATTTTTCTGAGTGTCGCACGATGATCACTTCTTCTAACAACACTCATGTATATTTAGGAACTCAGAACTGGGAAACCAGTTCCTGGAGGTTTGGAAGCAACTATTTCTGGAGTTCTGGGAGTTGATTGTCCTCCTATTTCTGACTGCTAAAGGATTTTCATTTCCCTGAAGTTAAGGGTCTCTTTTTTTCCATATTTAATGTTATGATGTTTTTTATTTTAATGAGTGAAAAGGCAGCACTGTAGGCAGGGCAGTTTAGTACCCGGACTCTTCTACTTCAGAGCTATACTGTTGTAAATGTAGACTGTGCGGGGTTTAGTCGTGGGCTCTTATGAGTGTTTCTATATATATTTATTGTCTTTCTTCATCCATTATTGCTGTTTAATGACAACTGAATTTCCCCCTTGTGGGGATGAATAAAGTATCTATCTATCAATCTATCTGGTAAGGGCAGTGTCTTGCTGAACTATACAAGGTCTTCCATGAAAAGCATTTTGTTTTGGTGATAGCTACAGTTGCTTTGAAACATATGGATATTGTTCAGCATTAATAGTGCCTTCTGAAATGTGTAACCTACTCCTGCCATGAGCACTTGTTCATGGATGCTGGCTTTTGAATTGTGGGATGATGACAAGCTTGGGGGTCTCTCTCCACTTTAGAGTCAATGAAATCAATGAACCATTTTCAATTCAATACTCAGAAACTTGAATGTGTGGAAAACTCACATCTCTCCATTGATGTACTCCAGCCTCTTGCTGACAGTAGCCTTTGCCTCGTCCAGGTCTTGCTTCACTAAAACTGGGCCAATGAGCTTATATACGGTGTTGGTGCTGTTCAGCAGGCCCAGCTCCTGAAAAATATATTCAGATTTACTTAAAATAATTTGATTCTTTAAAAATAACAACAATGGAAAGCCTTTGAGATCAAATAAGCAGATGGTGACCTCTTTGACGATGTTATTATCCGTCAGCTGTGTCTCCAGCTTCTGTCTGGCTGCCATGCTCTTACTCACATCTGAACATAAGAGAACATTACAATTATACATAAACATGATTTGGGAAAAAAGAGAGTTTTAATAATAGGATGGAAATATGTTTAAAGCAACACTTTATAGTTTAAATAATGTAAGGAAGTCCAAAAATAGTAAGCTAGCTCGCCTCAACGTGGTTCCACATAAATCCATGCCTTGCTGAGACCCACCTACCTTTTTGCATTAGCGTATATTTCTCTACCTCCGCTTGTAACTTCTTCTGAATGGCTTCTGCCATGTTGACGTTGGATCCTGAGAGCTAAATACAGTGAAAATATGAAGATATTCAGCAATAGGTGCTTAAATGTGGGATGACATGAAAGCTCTCTATGCTAACAGGAAACGGTAGCGGATGGTAGCTAACCCCTTCAAAATAAGAGCCCCCTCAATATTTGGGGTTGTTTATCTAACGAACAAACGAACGAGCGAAAATAAATTATAACAGATATCAATAAAGAATAAACATTTTCAAAAATGTTTGTTTTATGTTGTATTATTAAATGTATCATAGTAAATATGAAGTTCTTGTTGACCGGGTCATTGTTGCGGCTGTTTACGACATTGTTTTACGACACTGCATACAGTTCCTCACAGCCCTGGTTCAAGATGGCCCCGTCTTTTTGGAAAGGTGTTGTCGGCATTGGACTGTTTGCCTTAGCCCATGCAGCTTTTTCAGCGGCACAGCGTGAGTTTGAGAAATTTGTGATGAAAACACGGGTCTCGATGTGTGTATTGTTGTCGGTGGCTGTTTTCTGTGGGTCAGGTGACGGAGCGACCGGCCGGGCCTGTCCGTGCAGCAGCAGCAGCTCCGAGCTCCGAGAGGCTAACGCAGCTTAACCCCGCTGCTGCGCACAATACAGAGAGATATACAGACAAACCTCATCTCTTACTAAAGCTTACATATTAATACTTACACAGCCAATCCAATTTAAGTGTTACTTAAGAAGAGTTGTATTTTCAGGACAGTCTTGTGCATTTAGGTTTCTTTGTTTCTTCACTTGGCAATGTGTGAACATGTCCATTTATTAAAACCTTTTATTAAAAACCATCTCTCCCACCAGATCGATCATACATGCGACTCACAGAGAAGGAAAACGAGACACTACCGATTGATGTAAGTCACTTATTCTCTACGGTGCTTTTGTAATAAACCAATCCTAAAATATATGTTTAATTTCTGGCATGGTGGTGTCGTCTTTTGTGTCTATAGATTGTATTACAGACCTTATTATCGTTTGTGATGACCTGCTATGGTATCGTTCACATTGCTGGAGAGTTCAAAGACATGGACGCCTCCTCAGAGCTGAAAAACAAGTAAGTGGAGTCAGTGCACCTTCCTCCCCTGATAACATGGTTGTTTGTGTCCTCTGCCACAGGGGAGGCCTTTGTTCTCAGCCTCAGACACATTTATAGCAACATCACTCAGTTCCCACAGAAATATATTAACCTCCCTTCAAACTGCAGAAACATTATCCTACCGCCATCTAATCTGGATGCAACCTCACCCCCCAACACCCATCCCTGAAATCATGTGCATGTGTCCCTTTCTTATATTCAAGGTGAATTTATAGAGTTGCAGATTTGATCACCATTTTAGTCTTCCAGAGCATACATATAAAATTAGAGAGTCCCATTTGGGATGCACATATAGACTTTTCATTTAACTCTCATTGTGACCGCTTATTTGTATAATAAACATAAAAACAGCATTTAATTCTATTTTAGATGATATATGTTTAGATCTAATGCAGATATTCATTAATGCGTCTGCTGTCTGTTTCAAAACATTTGTCTGCAACCAACATCTCTTATCCTTCATGGTGTACACATACCTAATGCATCACCTTTTTTTGATGATTAGAGAAACAGACTCAACACAGTTTAAGAGTGAAGTTATTTATGTTTGACTGGAGAAAAAAAAAACTCCTTGGTTTTTAAACAGTGTTACAGAACAGTGAACCTCAAGCTTAAAGCAGTCAAGTGCCTGAGCTTGCAATATTTGCACCGACCCTCTCATTCATATTCCTTTTTTTTAAAAATAATAATAATGCATCAGATTTCATATAGCGCTTTATCAGAGAACCTCAAAGAGCTTTATATTGGATACATCATCCATTCACTCACACAGTCACACCTTGGTGGTGGTAAACTACCTCAGTAGCTGCCCTGGGGCAGACTGATGGAAATATGGCAGCCATTTTGCGCCCACGGCCTCTCTGACCACCACCACACAACACCCACAATCATACACCAGTGGATGTATAAGCGCATATGCACAACTTAACTACATGTATCCATCTTTTTTTCCCTTTCTAGAACATTTGACACGCTGAGGAATCACCCGTCCTTTTACCTTTTCAATCACCGGGGTCGGGTGCTATTCCGCTCGCCAGAGGAGCCCTCCTCAGTACGCAACCAGCAAGCCCTTCCCAACCCTCTCCGGCTACGCAAGCTGGAGCATTTGCACTGAGACTGGCCTTTCCTGCCTGTAACTTCATTGTCAGATTAAGATTTGTTTTTGTGAGACAGAGGGAGTGAGAGTTTGTCTTCCTCTAATTTAATTTGTACTTGTACATAAACTAATATGCTGTCCATGCATCTCTGTCCATAAAAGTTGTCACCACCATATTCAACACTGACTGTGCCAACCCTTCAATTCAATTTTTCAAGCAGATTTGTTTGTATATACAGTATATCATGGCTTTGGAGTCTTCAGATGCAGAGACAACGTCCCTCATTGTTCCCTCTGAACTGAAGCGGGGTGTTGCTGTCTTTTGTCTTGCCTTTCCATGAGGGGCATAAAAACTCCTGTTTCCCAACCGTTTTCATTTCATCTACACTCCAGTCTCCAACGACAACCGGGGCAAGTTTTTTTTTCAGGTGGTTCAGGGCATTTTATGAAGCAGATGATTTCCTTGAAGCAGACAGACATGTCAGCACATCCTGTTTGCATTGAAGAGGTTTTGTTTATGCCGCAGGAAATCAACGCATGGTGAGATGTGAGAACAGAAACCATTGGGCAGCCGCTCTGATGATAATGTGAACACAAAGACTAATGAGAAACTGCTGATACATTGACAAGAGTGACATTTATTTTCCTTCATTTTACATTTTGTTAAGATAAAACTAATGTTTTTAATTTAATAAAATGCGTACTGATTTTACAGTGGTGCCGTCTTTTTTTATTGAACACTGTTTATGTAGAAGCTGCTGGATGTTTATCAGGCTATTCGGTTCAAAGTGTTACTGCAGGTGCTGTCGGAAACTGAAACTCAAAGGCCCCAGTGCTGAGACCGCTATCTAACTAACATGAAATGGTACCAGGTGCTAATTGAGGCACTGAATTTGGCCAGACTCTGACATGTCAGAGCTGAGATGTCCTTTTGACCTTGTTACTGACCTGCAGTGTCAAAGAATTTTCAACCTGATCAGTTACTCAGGTTGGACTCAGGGTGGCAGTGTGAGCTGGACTTCAACAAGAAGGAGGAAAACTGGAGAAAAAATCTGAAGTGTTTTAATTCTGCTCAGTTTGTCTCTGAATTCCCTAGCAGCTGCCTAAAGATCGGAGGACAAATGGCAAATTTTTAAAGCAGATATAACGGGATAAATATCATCTCATTTCAAAATATGCTATATCTTTAAATCTGCTAAACCTTACCTACTAAACTCCACTTTGACCTGATGTACACTTTGTTTTAATGAGTCAAATCACCGATTAGTTAGCTACTGTGGTAACTGATGTGTAAACCACACTGAGCCACTTGCTCCAAACTGTCTGAATGTCAGTGTTCAGGTGTTTTGACATTTGTGCTCTTCTGAGGAGAAACGGACAGAACAACACGCGTGACCGTTCTACCTGAGGTTTATTTTTTGTTTTATAGAAAGAGAAGTTGTTTTTTCATATAAGTATTTGACAGTTTACAAAATTGGCTTTAAACATCTCATACAAAATATGTCTTACACTCTGAAATAAACAAATTCACAAAAATAATCTATATTCCTTATGAACATTAAAAAGTAGTGTACATCTGTCGTAAAAACAAGATAAACAACAAGACTTTTTACATAAACTTGTGTTTATGTAAAAAGCAGCAGAGGGCAGATTCCCAGCAGGTGACTGTCAACTGAGGCGGGTTCTGAAATTCCTCCCAATAAAGTCATATCTCTGGAAATCAATGGAGTGTTTGTAATGCTCTGGAGGGGGATTTCACAAGTCTGCATATTTGCATGTGTGTTAGTGTGTTTCAGGGGAAAAATCTGCGTAGACACCAAGAGCTACATTCACTGGACTCTTTCTCTACTGCTGTAATAGCAGGTAGGAGGATGCTGATGCTCACCCAGGAAACCAGTAAACAACCGTTCAACAAGACGGTATCGATGACAGCCCAAAACAGTTTGGTGTTGCTGTTTATGTTGATCATTTGCAGCTTTAAGAATGACTTGAATGTGTGTCGAAACACACAATGGCCATTTCACAGCAAATGAGACCAAGACAGACTTTGATGAAGTCGGTCCTTTTTTATAGTCTGGGAGGGTTGGAGAGGAGTTTTCAGACTCTGCCACACTGTCTGCTCCATAGTTTCTATGCTAGTTAGAGAGAATATACAGATGTGGATTAGTTTCTGCATTTGACAGTTGTTTTATTGACCAGATCAGTTAAACTGTTTATTACTTTTTAATTATTATTTGACAGGTCTTTATTTGACCTTTAACTTTTCAGGTATATTGAGATAAAGAATGTTTCAACTACAACAGGAAATTAAAATATATCCGTACGCTCAGAATCTTTCTTTCTATCTCAGCCACTCAAATGTTTCAATACTTATAAAAATGGTTTCAGTCAGTCTAACAAACCTTTGTCCAGACCAGCTGAAGAAAGATCTGCTATGATAAAAAAGTAACAATAACAGGAATGTCACCTCTGGATCTCGCTACTTATTTGGGTCTCTTCAGTGGAGTGTGTGTTTTCTGAGCCATGTGCTGATATAGACAAAAGCCATCTAGATGTTTAAGGCATCTGCCAACAGAATTATGTTTATAGTCTTTTCATCTGACCTTTAGGCCTCCTCCAGTTAGACCCCTGACCTCCCACCTCTAACTGGATGGTATGTCACAACACAGAGACAGCCGGAGCTTCTTCTGTCAGGACATTTCAGTACCCTCGTTCTTCCTCATGACCATTTAAAAACAACGTGTTTGACGGCGGTGAGTCCGTTGCTCAACAAAAACGTGTCAGAGAAGAGGAGCTTCATTCACTTTCCTGGTTAGAAAACAAAACTCGCTTCATTATAAACTGCCATGATCGTTGAGAAGCTGTGAGGACGCGGTTTCCTTTTCCTCCACCTCTGTGAGGGCCCTCTCCAGCTGCTGGATCAGCACTCGCTTCTTGAACCTGCCAGAGAAGAAAAACAAATACAGCACTCCAAATAGACCAGATCTGAAATATAATGTGACTCTGGGGCTGAATGTCTGACAGGCATGCTCAGTGTTAAGAACAGGGTAAAAAGCTCCTCTCATAAGCCTGGCCTGAAGAGTGTTATTGTTTCTTACCTGACAGCCTCTCTGATAGCATGCTGGATGAAGTACTTGCGGACGTTAACGGGTCCTTTAACCTGCTGCAGTAGTCCGAGTATTGCCTCATAGTCTGATGAAAAACAGCGACAGAGTTAACAAACAGCCAGTTACCCCCAGTATGAAACTGAAATTAGCAGGTTTGCAGGAAAGCAGAATGATTTCGTACTCACTTCGCCCAGGTTTGCGGACTTCCTTGATGACCCGGCTTCTCAATTCTGCCTGGCAGCCATCTAGCGGAGCTATGAATATGGTCTCCAGCTCTGGAGGATTATCTTCAGGGTCCTCTAATTGACTCTGTGGACTCAGTCTGTCATAGTTGTGTTTCTCCTCTGATGGCTGCTCATCTAGTGGATCTTCCATTAGTCTCTCTTCCATCATGTTACTGTCCTCTCCTCCATCTGCTGCACATAACTCGGCTTTTTCTTCAGGGCTCAGTGAAGATGGGTTCTCCGTTATAGAGTCCATCTCAGAGGGCCAAATCTCCCCTGGTTCAGAGCCAAGAGCCCCGTTACCGTTAGTCTCGATGTCCCCTATGTTGTTGCCATCCACTCCTGTGGCACACAAATCAATAGTTCAAACCTCTATGCTGTTCAATCTGTGTAACATTTTGATTCTCCAGTCATCATGCCTTGATTGTGTTTGTGTTTGGTATCCCATAATCAACACACACAGTGTGACTCTTATGATCTGAGTAAATCTTGATCCTACCTTTGTGCTGTGGGATGGGTTTAAGGAGGTTCTGCTGCCCTGAAACTGCTACTGGACTCTTCCCCACTACCATGTTGTTTGTGCTTCCAGGCGGCGTCTGTGGTCGCCGTAGTAACGGGGACATACTCCGTCTCCTCTTCATGGTTACACCTGAGTTGGAATCGCCAGAGTTTCCTCTTTTCTTATTTTGAGGGCCTGCTACAAACTCGTCAGCCTCATCGATCATCATCCCCTAAGATGAAGACAGGAAACCAGACTGTAAGAGAGGAGCTCACGGCACATTTATCAAGGATGCCAACCAGTGCTCTGTGTTACCGCCTGTTTACCTTCTTATCCTGCTTGAAAGGGTTTCCAAACGTATGCAGGCGTTTAGGCTGGTCAGGGTCGATCTCTCTGAGTGGAGATGGCATCATTTTGAGGTACTCCTGATAGTTTCCCATCTGAGCCACCGGGATACTGTGTAGATAGTCTGACAACCACAGGGAAGTGCTGAAGCATTAGTAAGTTATTTTTTCTCTTATGTTTATCAAACGGCTGGTTTGAATCATGCATATCTCATTGTGAAACCCTCAAAAATTGTTGCTGAATTTGCATTAAAGTAAAAAATACTTTAAGTAGTAGTGGAAAATCATACATGAATATTCTGATACTGCAAGGTTATGTAAAACTGTTTCTCTTCTTTGACTTTGAAATGCTGCTCTTTCATCTGATCTGAAGCATTCGGGCTTCAACTCTTGAGATTTGCCAAGTTAATAGTTAACAGTTAATACCTTCATCTTGCCCTCTGATGAGTTTTTGGGACGTTCGTAGCAAATTAGAGCGCATCCGGGTGAGTTGATCCAAAAGGTTTCGTCTTGGGATGTCGTAGGCGTTGCGATAAGCCTGAGGTTTCACATCCTGTAAATGCATCAACATACTTAGTCATACATTTGTTGTATCTTTTCTACCAACAACAAGCATGTCAAGCTTTTTTCACAAGTGCACTCTCTGCCTTAAATCTACCTTGTTGAGTAAGGCGATCTGGAAGCCAGCAAACTCTTTGAAGTTGATGTCCGCCAGGCGTAGGGGCCCCTCTCCGCTGATTCCTTGCAACAACTGCTTGAAATCCCGGCGGTGGGCCAGAGAAAGAGAGCTGGAGTGGTTCCTCACCTTTATGCCAGTTTCTTGGGGAGCTTTCTTCCCCACAGATACAATCAGGCGATCAGATTCGATCTTTGCCTAAATGGCAACAAATGTGGGAAAGAAACACATTTTACCACTGCTGGCTCAGATGTATCAGTCTACAAGTGTAAGACTGTTGTAAGATGAGGAATAAGTTTGAAGCACAGAGACAAAGAGGTTATTTTTTAGCATTATTCTGTGGTAATTATCTATTTGCTGGATCGTAAGCTAAATGTTTTCCTGCATGTGTAAATGCAACAGCCTGTCTGAATCTTTGATGACATGATCATCAGGAACACTTAGAGTTTTGTTTGGACCTCTGATCAAATTAGCACATAAAAGACAGTACACACGTGACAGAGCATGGCTCATCATCCTGACCTCAAGCCAACTCATCCATGGGTGCACAGATGTATGCAAATACACTCCTTTGACAACTAGCTTTGACTTGTGTCTGTGTTTCTGCACCAGTTGATTGGCTAGTGTCTCCAAACTCCTGTTACGATGTTCCTATTGCTTGAAAATGTTGCTAAGGAAACCCCGTTTCATGGGCCCTACCTACCTGCTGGCTGAGCTTCTTCAGATAAGAGATAACACTGTAACTCAGGCCACAGTCCATGGTGTCTGCAATGAGATTAGGTGCCCCCATCATCCTCAACGCTTTCTTTAAGGGCTGTTCAAAGATAGCAAGGGAATGCAGTTGGTGTTAGTTTTATGCAAGAATGATACACCGCTCAACACTCATGCACTGGAAAATGTACAGCTTACCAAGAGGTAGTATGGAGGCATGGTCTTCAGATACATCTCGAAAGCTTGTCGCCACTTGAGGTTTGGTTTTAGCTTGTGCACTTTAAACAAGTCATCTGGATGGACACAAAAAGGGTATTACACTTCTATAAACCAAGTGCTTGTCACACAGCGCTGTTAAAGACGCACTGGATTGAAGTATGGGGTGACCCACTAGAGGATGACTTTTTAAATTTAACACCAGTGCAGACCTACTGAACTAGAAGTTTGAAACCATTTTAAGATACAGTTTTTTGCCTTATATCTTACCAAGAAGTGGAAGAAGGACTGGGTAGTTGTAAGGCATGACAAACAGGTTGACACAGGTGAGAGTGGTGCTGGCTTTTAGGTAGCCAAAAGGTTGCCCAAGGTCATTTTGCTTTGCACTGCTGCTGACAAACACCTGTGGATAAAAAAAAAACATCACAAGTCTTTTTTTAGAAAAGATTTACTGATGCATGATTAATAATCAAAGATCATGCACGAGTCTTGTCACAGAGAAGGCTAAAAAGCTATCCTAAAGTGAGGCGCTTTCTTATTTCTGGATTGTAGAGAAAGTCCTTGAGGCAGTCCCAGTGACAGCAGATGGGTGGATCTGGATGAGTGAGTATCTGCCATACCTGCCAGCATATGTGTGGAGACTTCCTTTCCAAGATGTACTGGGTGAGCGGGGACGGCTCCAGTTCATACTTGTCGAAGGGAAGCTTGTCAATCACCATGGGCTCACAGTCTACGCAGGAGAAACGCACCACAGGATGTGCAGAGCGAGGTGGCTATGAACAGAAAATGAATAAAAGTCAACCGCTTGGTACATATATTCATTCAAGGTTTTAAAACATGATAAGATAATTAGACACTTGGCTATTATGGCTGTAGTTCAAAGTTACTGACTTGTGAGAGAGAAAGCGAGACAAAGAGAGAGAGGGGACTGCCCATAAAAAAGAAGTGACAGTTTCCAGAACATGTGCCTCTGAGATCTGCATCTATGAACACACACATAGGCACTCTGCATCGCAGGGGATCAACTGTTTAATGTCTAAAATAGGCTGGAGTATTCCTTCATTGTGTCTATACACAGACTTAAAGGCTTATCATGAAAACCTGTTGAAAACCTGTTTCCAACTTCCATCTCTGGCGTGGTAACCCAAAGACCAAAGCTGCGGCTCGGATCATTTTCAGCCATTTTCTGCTCACCAGGGTAGGAGAATTCTGGTCCGGCCAGAAGGACTCTGGTATGGGCCAATGCCCGACTGGAACTCCTGTCTTTGGGTTTGGTCGCACATAGATGAGTTTGTGGCAACTGTGCCACGCCTGTGGGCTGAAGGATGATACAGGACGACTTGACTCCACGGAGTTTTCTGCACAAAAAACAGAAAAGGAGAAAAATCTTCTCAGCCTAATGATCAGGTGAAAGAATTGTTTGATCAGCCATGTATTTTTTTTGTCCATGATGACAGATTTCCTTCCTGTACACTCCCTTACAGAGCATCTCCATGTGAGCCAAACTTTGTGAACCTCCACAGTCAAACATTTAAAAATGTGTCTATAACATTTGTACAAAGGTCAAATGTTTGCTCTGTGTTCATTCAGTAACTCACCTTCCCCAACAAGAGGTGGATCTGGCCCCGTCTTCTCAAAATTAAGGACAACTCCACTTTGAACTTTTTGGACCAGAGACTCCAGACACTGGTTTAACATCCTCTGTGTCCGCACACAGTACGATCGCCCTGAGACAGAACAGGAGGCATGCTATCATGTGTTTCACTTCAAAGAATGACGATGGAAGTTGGTTCCCAAAAAAGGAAAATGCCAAACCTCCAGTTACTTCACACATCTGAGTGATGGCAGATTCATCTGTGGGGACGCTGCCGAGCTGCTCGGTGTCTGGTGTGGCTGCTCCTGGAAGCCTCAGCACCAACGCAAACAGACGCTGGTCCCAGCGAAAGGGCTCTTTGGTCAGCTCACTGCCTGCCAGTGGAGAGTTCAGGGGCAGGTGCAGCTGGACAGAAGACAGACCACAATTATCATTTAAGAACTTTATTTGTTTCATCTGTTGCAGCTCCCTATTTGCACCATTTCACAAATACTTGAAATCATTACAAAGTCTTAGCTGGTTTTCAAACAAGTCCACAGTAGCTTGACTGAATGTGTCTGCACTCTCACCTCATCTGGCACCCCAGAGCTGTGTGTAAGCTTGTTCCCATCAGTGATAGTGATGATCACAGATGGCTCGAGGAAGAAGGGGTTGCGGCCCTGATGGAGAACAAGTAGCATGAAGCAATTCAATCGTGGTTTAGGTAAACAGTGACCTTGTTTCTTCTCATTGCCCTGTTCTTCCTTTCTGACTCAAAACAGTAACTTGCATTAGACTTCCGACCTCCCGACCCACACATTTAAAAGAAGAGCATGCTGCAGCCTTGTGGTTGAACTAAATGTGTAGTTGCAAGTGTCCTTGTGTTAGCTGTCCAGGATAGAGGTCTTTACCACTGTGCTGCAGGGGTCAGACTTGTCTAAGTCAAACACTCAGAGAATGTCTAAGTAGATTAACACGCCCCTCCCCATGCTCTGAACTTGTATCAGTACTTGAGAGTAGTAATTTATTCCTGCCTTCAAGAGGGGGGTTTGGTGGAAAAATGTGAGTGAGGAGCTGATGACTGTGCTCACTGAGGCAGGGCAGAATGGAATAAGCTCCAATCAAAAGTCAATACTTTTTTTCTTTGTCTCCGGTTAGAGGAATAAAAAATTACCAGCTGAAAGCTTTGTTCAAATCATTGTTTAAACCTTTATCTCTCCAGGGGAAGTCCACATATACGGAATGCTGCTGCCATATCAGGAAAGCTATTACTTGTTGCTTTTTACAACAACATTTTTATCTTGGTTTATAAGCTTAAGTAAGCTGCGCCCGTAGGCACTTTATTCCCCCAATAACATCTATAATTTCTTCTTTGTCCGGACCACAATCAGTGTCTGTATTTTAGGTCCTACTGACTTGTAACTCTGAATATTTTTAAAAACACATTAAACTCTGTTCACAGCCTTACTTGCTTACTGCCATGAGAAAAACAAAGTACATATTACAAGACAATCAGAAGGAGTCTGCAGGTCACCTTGCGTACACAAAATTAAAAATCAGTGTGACATTAACTTGTACTAACTTATTCATCCCTAAATGGTGATCAAAATTGGTATACTATGTTGTGAATATGAGTGTAGAGGCCCTGAAATAAGCACCTGATATCAAAGATTAACACTTTTAGATGAGTGAATTTTGAGCTGCTGTCAAAGAAATGCATACGTGGATTTTGTCATCAAATACCTGCCCATAGTTGTCGATGCCTGAGACGAGGCGGTTTAGGTTAAGCAGGTCAAAGGCTGTGCGGAGAGCGTGGCCCAGTGTAGTCAGCCCTGACGCCTGGAGGTTCTTCAGCTCGCACATGAAGGTGGCGTGGTTCTCTTTCCAGCCTGCCTGAAATACATACATTACAGAGAGTGTGGTGAATGCACAGCATAGCAAACAGCTATAAAACACGGGAGCAGAGGAGGCCCATAGTCACAGTGCATGGAGGGCAGCCGCAAGCCAAAATAGATCCCCACCCACAGATCCCCACACTGTGTCATTAGAATGAAGAACAGAACAAGTTTTGAACAACTGCTACCTATCGTGGAGGGCATTGTAATCTTTAAAACCCACTGATTCAGAGCAAGGAGACATCATAGTCACCACTAAATAAAATCAGTTTATGCCAAGCTCTGGAAACAGAAGATAACATTGTTAAAAAGCAGGCCCACATGGCTGTTGCTGTTAAAGAAAGACTCTAAATTCATCCATGAAAAGCATCCAGAAATAAATTTCCCACTGCTGCATGTCCTCTGTAGCAGACTTACACTCCCACTGGAGAGGATGTGGGCGTGTAACTGCTCATGGACTCTTCTCCTGCGGGGTCAAGTACCTTACTGCTGCAGCTTCATGCCTAATCTAAGGATGACCTGTAAGCTTACCACTTCCTTTATCGGGGGAGGGAGGAGAAAGGCTAAAGACAGACAGAGGGAGACAGAAAAAAGAGAGAGGGTGGACGTATATATGCTATAAATGCACCTGGTGTTACGAGAGAGAGAGATTTGACGATCAGGACAACTTGATAGAAGCAACATCAAAGAGCAGCGGCAGCAAAACAGAAGAGGGAAACACATTCACAGGGCTAATGGCAAAGTAACAACTCCGACACAGACACTCATATAAGCCAGTAGGGCTCAGCTCGTGCTCAATAATTCAAACTTCAGAACATTCCTATTTTCTTCTCACCCAAACCTCCTCTCTTTCCTTCTACATCAACAATTTATTGCATCTGTAACTGTGCAATCAGAGTAGCCCCATTCAGTACAACCTTGTCCTTTCATCATAATCCTTCATGCACAAAGCGGGCAGGAACAACAAAGGAACAGGCAAAGAGAGGAAGAGCAGGAGGAAGAAGAGCTGAGGACAGACGAACAAGGAAAAAGCACTCCAGACGACAGCACCTTGATGATTCAATGTGAGATGAATTACATGTTGGGCCATCTGGCTACGGTCTAATAAGGGGGGCTGTTTCAGTGGGAGGCATGAAGCAATGATCTTGACTTCCAGTGGTAACTACATCATATAAATTACAGCATCTGCTTATGATATCAAGTCAGAACTCCAGTCTTGCGTGCATGCCTACAGGAAGACAATAAATTTACCAAACAATGAGCTTGAAGGGGAGCTTGTGGAGGTTAGAAAAGAGACGGACGGAGCCTGATAGTTGTTGGGCAGAGACAAAGATTAGCACTAAGTAACCGTGTACTCAAACAGATGAAAAAAAAAACTCAATACTTTAATGTATCATCCAACCTGTAACTGCTCCTACTATCAAAAAGATGTCTTAATACGTTTTCATACAGCTCTAGCGCTGCAGTTTGGGTATCATGCATGCAAATTAAGATCCCACAGGGAAAGGGATCCATTAAATGTCTCCAGCAACAACAGGACATAAGTATGTACTGTCCTATTTTGAGGGGAGAAGCAGTGTTTGTTTGTGGACAAACTTGGCAAAACTAAGACCCCTGACAAAGACAAGCCTTGAAACACATCAAGGACTCCAGTGGTTTATGCAGGCGCTAACTTTGAAATTCAACTGTGCATGTAAATCTCAGTGACATGTATGCCAGGTCGTAACACAAATCTTTAAGTAAATGTGGAAGGTATCTTTGCTGACATGATACCATTGAAATTCTTGCAGTGATTTATACTGTATAGGTTGTATGCTTTTGCTTGGGTGTAAGTCGTTGGTAATAAATCTCTTGGACTGCAGGTCATAATGTCCAAAGTGTCGGTATGTCAAGTAATTATCATTTGGTTGATCATATGAATAAATGTCTTCAAGCGAACTCAGTAAGTCAGAAAAAAAACCCACTCATGATGAAAAGGGTTTATCAACTTTTAGCTGAGACTGGCCAATGGTACTGCATGGATGAGAGAACAGGGGGAGGAGGGTATGACTGACAGGTTCTTTGACCAATCTGGACGCTCTACTTTCACAAAAAACGGCGACGTCATACACGATAATAAATCTCTCCGCCTCCATCTCAACGCCCGAGACTTTTCTCAACACAAAAGCAAAATGTCCGCTGGATGGTCGGAGGCAGTGCAGCTCCGGGTCTGCGGGTATTTGGAGCAAAATAATGCCGTTTTCGCCACCGGGAAGCCGCCCGACTCTGACTACAAACCAGAAGGACAATAAAACCTTACTAACAGAAAAAATACGTCCGCTTTGTCATATGTAAAAAATGTATCAGTTGCTGATTACCTTCACTCCGTATGGTGGATCATCGAATGTAACTAGCATGTACCTGTCGCCTCTACTAGCCGGGTCTCGGGCACGCAGCTGTCAAAAAAGAAAACCAAAACAACATATATTAATTTCGACCAATTGTGTCCAAGGAATCCTATGCTCTCCAACGGTGCATTCTTCCTGAAAAATTCGGGGTAAAATCAATCTTTACCTTCATAAAGACCTCAACCGCGCCTTTAGCAACGTCCAGATACGTCGTACCCAAATAAGTGCGCTGATTCATAGAGGCGGACGTGTCTAACAGGAAAACTAAAATAGGCATTTTAAATGTACAGCCGCGGTTTAATGCTTTTCTAAAGTAACTGTTATCCACATATGACCTATCATGCGGCCAAACTGTTCACACATGTGTGTATATATTTGTTATAATAAGCCCCCCCTCCTAAAGAGGGCCGTTGCTTTCGTTCCCTCTCTATCTGCTTTTCTAAAGGTCTGTCTCAGCTCGCGCTGTTCAACTTCTGCTCCTAACCAAGTGGAACGCCCCGTTCCCTCCACTGCGACGCCATTGGCTTAGCCCAATTCCATTGACCACGCCCTTCTCAATATATAAATATATAAAGCGGACGAATGGGCTTTTGTCGTTCATCCGCCCTGCGCGCCACCAGAAATACTACATAGTCGCAATGAACGTTATGTCACAGAAATGGCGTTAATGGTAGGTTTTAAAGACGAAAGTATGACATCTGACTGCCTGAGAAGCCCACAACACACACTTGCATCTTCCAGGTTTTAGAACCAAACAGAATCTGTCTTACGCGCACGCGCAAATACGCACACACACACACACTCCTCGATCTTCCTTTGACTCTGTGCGTACCCCCGTACAGTACACGTTCAAATAATCAGTCCTTATACTGAACAATGCAACACAAGTACGCGTGGCCTAACAATAAAACTCACCTTTGTTTTTGCCTGTTAACCGTGCTAACTGCATAATTATTTACAGTAAAAGAAAATGAGAGATAATGGTACCTTAGGTTATATCAGGCATGTGAAGCCCTAAAGTGTTTGTCCGACTCTATTGAAGTCAAAAAATCCAATAGAACTTGAAGGCGTTATTGTTGATAGTTTTACACAATTTACTTTACTTAGATTGGACAGCAAATAAATATTCACCGTGTTCTGTGATGTTATGAAATAAAAGATACGTGAAAGAAAGCCCTTACAGGCCATGCACGGTAGTCAGTTGATGACAAGTGTAAAGGCTACATGACAAGATGAGGTCTATTTTTTCAGTATGCATGAATGACACATTTGTTTGTTTGTTTTTATTTGCTGTGATTCAAGCAGGTTGATTTGATCGATCACCCTTACCATATGATAATTTAACACGCCCAGACCATGAACGCATCACCAGACTGTCCCTACATTTTGTGTCATACAAGGGTAAACACTTCTAGCCTGGGACATCTCTTACGTCTGTTTTGTTGACGTCTTGCACGTTCACTTGCGCCCTCTGTTTTCCCAGCATGCATCGCGGGGTCTGCAGTATATTATTGACAAAGAAAAGGACCGGAGAGAAACAACAGGGTGGGAACTGAAGCTCGAACCCTGGTCATAACACTCACGTTACACGATCCCGTGCGTTAATAACAAGGTAAAGTGTCGCTTCACATTGCAGTTTAGAGTTTCGTATTTTACAGTGCCTAAACGTTTGGTTATGCTGGGGCTGCTAACATCTGGGGTTGTCTTTCCCAGCTAAAGCTAACTATCGTTAACGTTATTTAGCGTTAGCGTTGCTGAACTGTGATGTGTCATAGCGAGCTAATGTCGACAACTACGGGCTGCTCGGTATTATGATATACGAATTGAGGTAAAACGATTGAAAACAGTCCTAAATTATGATTTCTGTGGGTTGTCTGTGTTACCCATTACATTGCAGTTTGTGGGTAGCTTATATCGTTGGCACACACATCTTAAGTAAGATAATTATACACTTGTTTGGATTGTTCAAATGTGAACATTGAATATGTCAGACAGCTGGTATGTATGTAAATGAGAAGTTGTCGGCTTCAGAAATAGCGAATTAAAGGTGGTTTTTAATGGTTACATAGAGAACAAAAGATGTTGCGACATCGAGAGGCTCCTCGAGCTCTGCTGTAACCATGTAAACACAGAGCGGCACGTGACTAGCCACATGGCGTTCACTTGGTTTCGCTTACCCTGTTGAAATGACCTGAAGCCCAAATTAAGTTTCATTCAAGAAAGTGAGTTTGTCCTTGTTTGCTCTACAGCTTATACCCCCACTTAAAGTAAAACCTAATAAACTCTGGTTAGAAATGAGACATGCAATGTTGACCCCTGAATAGTTTCTAACAACAGGTTTTACTGCGAGGTTGTTTATCATAGAATATAGATACCAGACAAGTAACAACAAGTTTGACAGTGATGTGCCAAAGAAATATTTGACATTTGTGAAAGTAGACTTGCATAACACATTAAAGTTGTGCAGCAACATAGTTGTAATACTCAATATCATTATTTTTACTTGATTACACTATCAGACATCAATATTTTTTCTCTATTTGGCCTTCATATAGATGACTATCAATGACTATAGTTTTTGTCACATGAAAGCATTAAAAGGCATAAAGTCTATGGAAACAACATCTGCTGGATTACACACTGTGAAATGGAATATTTAAGAAGACAAGAACTTTTTTCTAAAGTGTAGAGAAAATAAACATTTCCAGTGACAGACTTTTGCCTCTTTTGTGAGTTCCATTTGTTATTAATTATCATTGTCTTTTCACAGCTCCTTGTCATTGCTTTGAGGCAATGATTCAGGACAGGTTCCCATTCTACCCAAAGGGTGTTCACACAGCTTGATCATTTGTGGAGAGAGGGGTGGGGGGCCCAGGCAGACCGTGGACGGGGACGGGGAGGAGCTCAGCTGGAGCCAATGCAGCAGCAGCATCGACAGCCTGAGCTGGTGGAAGGAAACCTTCCCGTGTTTGTGTTCCCCACGGAGCTCATCTTCTATGCAGATGAGCAGATGTCTCACAAGCAGGTGCTCACCCTCTACAACCCCTATGAGTTTGCCCTCAAGTTCAAAGGTCAGTTTGCAGAATAAAACCCAACTTTCTCAGATGTTAAAGTACCTTTGCTATTATATATGTTATCGGAATAATCTGTGCTTTCTTTTAGTGCTATGCACAGCGCCAAACAAGTACACTGTGGTTGATTCCACTGGAGCTGTTAAGCCACAGTGTTGTGTTGATATGTAAGTTTGCTTTAAATGTGTGTGCTTTCCTGTTTTGTTTTTGTCATTCAGTGGTGCTGCTTAGGAAAAGTTTGTTTCCTTTTGAGTCTTCCACATTTTTTCCCTTTCCATTTTTTCATCATGTATATCCTACTTTGCTAAATATTAAATGCAGGTTTGTACGTCAGTTTTGACTCTCGTATTTTGAGAAATATGTTTTTTATATATATTTAAAGCTGATCAAGTGAAGAGTCTGAATGTTTCTACATTTCCACACAGAGTAATCAGACACAGAGATGTGCGGGCATGTCATTATGGGGTGTACGACAAGTTTCGACTGCAGGTGTCGGAGCAAAGTCAAAGGAAAGCTCTGGGTCGCAAAGAGGTGACGGCAACACTCCGCCCCTCAGCCTCACAAGAGCCGCCCAGCCCCCGACCCCAGGATGAGGAACGCAGAATCAAAGAGCAGTTTGCAGAAAGCGAGTTTTTTGAACAGACTGCATTTCAGACAGGTAGGCTTAAGAGTTGTTGAGTGATAGTACCACTAGATGGAGCCAAGCGTTAAGAAACTAGAGTATAAGTCTTACTACTCAAAGTACACAGTATATTTAGACTGCTTTTGTGTCCTATCAACATACCTGATTCTCTATTCAACTTTTCTAGAATAAAATGGAAGATCAGTAAGTGAAATAGGTGGATTGACAATAACTACACTAACTTATATATGTTGTAATTGGATTCTGATTTATATTTGATGTTGTATAAAGAGGCGTCTACTGTTTACCTCTTCTGACTGATTCAGTGTATGCCCACGTACTAGATCGATTTTTGTTAAAATATCTACATTTATAATATATAACAGAAAAATGTTCCAATGCACGCAAACATTTTATCATTGATTATTATTGTACATACAGTATGAAGTGTAAGCTGTCGGTCAGTATTACTGGTATATCCAGTGAAAAAGAGCGAGCCAGCTCTGAAATGATCTCCTCCATCATGGTTTTCTAGTTTCCAAAGCAATGTTGTAAAATTATACACATTAGGGAGCCTACATATAAAGTTAATTTTAAGGAAACAGACCCAAAGAGAGTAATAATTGACTTTTATATGAACATGTAATTTTAAGTCTTTATAACAGACTGAAATTCACTTTAGGCTTTAGGCTGAGAACCAGAAGAGTCAGAAAGAAACTAACACTTCTTTGGTTTTGTACCTGTTCACATCCTGTTACAGACTTGTAAACCTTTCCGAGTGATTCATCTGATCTCTGTGTTTGCCTTCCTTGCCCATCAGAGAGCCGCCCTGTTGCCGGAGGCCCCAGTCTGCTGACAGTGCTGCTTGGCCTGGTGTGTATGGCCGCCCTGATGCTCCCAACATTGGGAGAGCAAGAATCTACTGTGCCTGTCTACCTCCACTTAAGTGTTAACAAGAAACTTGTAGCTGCTTACGTTCTTGGTAAGTAGAAAAGGGATTATAAAAGTGAATTTCTAAATGAGAGCTACACCGCCTGTTAGTATACACATGACACTGTGCTGTTTAGACGGTATGTATACACAGAATCCAATTTCTTTGTTTTGTTTCTTGTCGTAGGTCTTCTAACGATGGTCATCTTACGCACATGAAGTGCTGTGTGTGAAAAGTCGGAAAAGGACATTCTCACACTGGAGGCACCGCTCTGCCACACTACTGCTGACAGTAGTGGGATGGGGCCTCATTCAGTTCACATCTTCTCCTGAAAACGACCTTTTAGTTTCTTTTATTTGAAAAACACGTTTGTCTTCATAAGTACTGCTGTCCTATAGCGAACAGCAGAGACCTCTGATGTAGGTCAAACATGGTATTGTGAGAGGAGCTGTTCCTTGGCCTGTGAAGTAACACGAGGCAACTTAAAAGTGCATTTTGGCCTCATACTCCCTGTGTCTGTATTTTTGTTGCCGTTATGTGCGAGAATATGGTCATCATGAGTGTGTAGGAATCATGCAAACATGTATATAAAGCCATTAAACTTTTGTTATGGTGTTCATCTGTAACCATCATTATATATTGACCTTTAAAGCTTTTTTTTTAGTGTAGAATTCAAGGACTAAATGCAGTAATTTGCATGTTTGGAGAGACCTTATATGAATGACTTTTTATTTTTCCAGGATTTGGATCATTTGCCATGTCACCAAAGGTAATTTCTTCTTTTGAAGACAATGCTTTGTTTGGCGTATTATATCAGTGCTCCATCAAACATTGAATAAAGTTTCTGTTCGGCTGTCTCTTACTATGTTCAAACATCAACCTGGGTTATTTGTAGTGCACAGGATGGAGAAGGATGATGCCAGAATCATGACACAGCTGTGCCTTTATCCACTTTGTAATGACGTTGACTGAAAATGACCCTGTCCCCATCAAGGCTGTGTGCCATCAAGTTAGAGAGCTGAGCACATGATCTCTGTTTATCACTGGGTACCATAGCAATAAAGGGTTAGTGATGTCTCATTTTGCTTGTTCATGCGGTAAGTCTTCTGCTGCGAGCATTTCAAATTCCTGAAATATTGAGCTTCACGCGTATATTAAAGAAATAATTTATTTAGTCCTGATGTCTGCTACGATTACAACCACAAACAACACAAGCAAAGGCGTGAAGTTAGCCAGCTTGGAAGATTACAGCCTTTCCATCACAGACATAAAGTATAATATAGTATTTGCTGAGTGCATGCCCTGAACACTTCTTAAGAAGACTATACAAAAATCCCAACAAAAAATGTCAGCAGCAGGGCAAACAGACCACTTTCCATTTTCTTATTTATGGAGAGGAAAAGACATTCAGTAAATTAACTGCAACCACACATTTAAAGGGCACACTTCCATAAAATGATTTACAATCTCTTCCTTTTTGTACACGCTCTTTAAGGGCTACAAGACCTGTGGAGAAGCGGAAACATTTAATGGGCTTTTAGACAATATGGGGCCATGACCATTAAAGCACATTAGGTGCTATAATCACAGTAAGGCTAAACCTCTGTAGACTGTTGTTTCTCTGATGTCCTCTAAGGTCGAGTCTTACTTCTTTGCGTACACAGTGGCTGTATCATCACAGGGAGGAGTCTCCTGCAGAAGCACTTCTCAATAAAACCAAAACAGACACCGTGGATTTCTTTTTAGTTTTTGGCAGGACGTTTCAGTGGTTATTTGATATGGTGTATATAAAACACCAATGGTTGACCTTTACCAGGGAGATACTGATCTCCTTCAGTTTTTATAATTCATTTGATTTATAAATAAGAATTTTTTGCCAGAGGACAGAAAACAGACTCATTTCCATATACTCTGCTTATCTACAAACATCCTGACAAGAACACAGGATAAAAAGAGAGCTTTAGTGTTCAAAGTCCATCAGTGAAGACCATCTCACTTCCTCCACAGTTTACTGCATGGTGCATTAACTGTGCATACTTGGCGATTAGATTTGCAGCAAGTTATGAGGAAAGGGGGCATAAAGCCTACTAGATAAAACACCACAGTTCACAGCCTCTATCATTAACATCTGCTGAAAACAACAAAGCACTATGGACAGCTCCATAGTTATAGACCAGAAGCCGTTTCAGTTCCTTTACAAAGACATTTGCCATTGAAGACCTCTGTCCACATTCACCCCACAGTTCATAAACTTTAAAACTATGTACGACATTTGACAAGGTTAATATGTACATAATTAAACAAAGCAGGAAAACAATAAGTTAGATCTTTTCTTACAAAATGTGCACATACAGAGGCCTGTGGACAGAAGTTTCCAGCACAAAACAAAGAAAAGTAAACATCCAATAGTCTTTTTATTTGTCCAGTGCTCAATGTTCCTTTCCAGTGATGGAAACTGGGAGGCCAGAGTTGATGCTCAACCACTTGTGAACACAGTTCACTATGAAAGCCATGTGGTGCCAATAGCATCGTCAGTCATGTGTAGTTTCATTTGGCTTTAAACTCTTTCACACAAGCTTTCCATAGCTTTCACTTCCTTCATTCAAACATTACCCCTCTGAAATGTAGCCACGTACATCTGCCCAGAATCAAACGTGGAAAATTCCACTTCAACCAAATCTTGGTGATGAGAGAGGGTCTGGAGAGGAAATCTGTTTCCTGGAAAGAGGCTTTTGAGTTCCTGTCGTTGAACATGTCTTTCGCTATCCTGTGCTCACTTTGGGGACAGATCCTGGAGTGAAGCAAAGGGAGAGTTGCTGGACGAGGAGGGTGACACTCCCTCCATTTTGCCTGGTGAGTCTGTTGAGGAGCCCACGCTGCTAAGGCTGCCGTCCAGCAAATCTGGAGAGTGGCTGAAGGAAAAGGACAGACTGAGTTAGATACTCCAGATTTTCATTATTAAGACAAACACCAAATGAACTATTCTTTTTTTTTTATGTCCAGGAAGACACAGAGCTCATCTAAGTCTCCTGTCTGAGATTTCTGTGGCCTTTGAATCTTCTCTACTTTTTTTTTCTTAATACCTACCCAACACTTCCTTTAAATCAGTCCATAGATAACTGTATTAAACTGAAGTTTTGGCTGTAAGTCATTTACCGTCAAAACTTCTGAAAAGTTGTCAAACAGCAGCTGGTGGGTTCTGAGTCTAAAGTGCATCTATTGCTAAAAGCAAATTCTTTTTATTAATTTCCTGTTTGAGTCAAGGTCTTTCCGAGTTTTACTTAGATGTGCTCTTAAGCTATGAATTATCTCCTACACAAACTGTATCACACTCACAGAGTTTTGATGAAAGTATAACCCAGCATATCTGACCCTCGTAGGAACTGCACTTGACTGGTTTCCTTGAGTATTCACAGGTATGTGTGATTATCTACATAGTTTCGACAAGTTAATCTTGGACTGTTTGCTGACCCACTCATCTTACCAAGAACTGAGATCTGACAGGTTCGAGACATCAGAGGACAGCATGGTGGTTGTACCCTGGAAGAGCCTTTTGGGTTGACTCTCAGTCTCCATCTCCCCTGCAAAGACAATTCAAAATATTTCATGCCAGATCATTTGTGTACAAAAGAGGAGAACTAGTATAAAGAGTTTGATCACCATCAGGTTCAGATTTTGCACAAAGGAACCTTTCCAAGCCAAAATGACTAACACTCCTGCTACTCTTCACATACAGAAAACTCTGTTCACCTTTATCCAAAGATTAAATGTCTCTGGAGGTTTGACAGATGTGACAGTGATAATCAGGAGTATTTGATAAAGCATTTCTGGATTCATGGTAACTTGCAAAACATTCCTCCATACTCTCAGAGTGCAAGCTACATTCACACCGTCCTCCTCAATGCTCAATTCCCATTTATTGCTTGTATCCAGCTTTTTTGTTTGCATTTCATTGTGACCTGTATCAGATTCCCGTGTGAACAAGTCACAGTCCTAAACTGACCAGCATGCGCAAACAAGGACAAGGACGTCACATGTACGGCCGTGTTTACTGACAAAAAGTGGCAACCGCTGAGGTTACGCGTGGTTTAATGAGCACTTCAAGCCTCTCAAACCTTTATAAAAGGTCATTCAATGAAACATAAGACTACTGAACTTTTTCCTCTAACAGTCACACATTTGCCTCTTTTTTATTTCTTCTAAGCAGTTATTCACCTGTGTTTTTTAGGGTGTCTAAATGTCTCTTCAAATGGAGAAGCAAAGCAAAAAAGGACAAACACTTGAAATTTAACTACACTAATGAGGTTCCCAATTCTGCTCTTTCCATGGAGCTCTAATAACTCAAGATCAATTGAGTCACACGTGTTAAAAAAAATCAGACTTTGGTCACTTTTGACGCAGTTTGGTCGTAGCCTAAGATCCCAGATCTTGTTAATTTAGAAAAAGAGAATCTCTATTTTCATACAGAGTTTCAATCCAGGGTATCAACTTTACCTTTGCGCTTGATTGGTCCCAGTATGCTGGCTCTGATGCAGTTGATAGGGCTTTGACTCCGCCGGCTACAAGGAAGAAAGAAACAAAACACACATATAACACAATAGGTGGCTTTTGACAACATTTACAAATCCCACCCCCCCAAAAAATATTTAATAATTAGGCTTTTTCATCTTAAGTGACTGACTGTTCTCTACCCTCAGACATCTTATACGCTGTAGTGTTTAAGAGGAGCATGTCTTTTTTTCTGTTCATCTAAGGGTTGCAAAAATAAAACTGTTTCATGTCCCCCAAAGAGAAACATTAACAAAACACAGTCAGCTGGTACCATTTAAGTCTCAGTGTAAAATATTATCTGTATAAAAAGATTATGGACCAGGAGCACAGCTCAGCAATATAAATAGATTTGATTATTAATCTTCAAAGACTGAGTGCTCACCTGAAGCGGCGTGTTGGACTGGGAATTGGGCTGGGTGTCAGGCCATTGCTGCTTACGAGGATTTGTAGTGAAGGAGAGAAACACTGCTGCTCGAAAGAAAGCAAAACAGAGACAGAAGCTGATGTCAAATATACATCCACATCCAGACATCAAAACAGGCATAAATGCATTTCTAAGTTAAACCAAATCAGCTGAAGGCACTGCCATCCTAGTTTCTCTTCTTTAGACATAAAGTAAAGCAGATTATCAGAGAGGTTATTTGTCATTTTTCAGTAATTACAGCAAACAGTAACGCATAAAAGGAACACTAGGAAATGAGTGTTTACATGTAAATGAGCTGATGCAGCTTTTCAAAACCACAAAAGTTCATTTTTGTAGCGGCAGAAAAATAATTGAACCCAAAAGTTGTGTTCTTCAGTTGCCAATACATCATTCTTCACAGGCTGACTTTTCCTGATCATTTGTGATAAAGAAAATCAGATTACAGCAAACTATAACACATCTTGATGTGATATCTTTATCTTGTTACTCACATTCTAATCTGGTTAGGTTTTTATGTGAACATACTGATTTCAGATGTACCTTTTTTCCGATCCCTCTGGTCGGAGAGGGAGCAGGCGACACAGGAACAAAGTCAATGCGCTTTGGAGACGATGAAGCCGATTTTTCCAAGTCATTGTCGCTCTAAGAACACAAAATAATCAAACAGTCTATTTGACATACTTCTACTTGACTGTGTAAAGAGATTGTAAAAGACATCCATAGAGTGTTGGAGTATTATACTACCAACTCAGTCTGACCTTGAGAGACTGGTGGCCCTGTTAACTCCTCAAGTGTTAATCTAGCATGTTTCTACTTGTGTTCTCTTCAGAAATCAAGAGTCCACAACGGCTCAGAGCCAAAACATGCTGTGAGAAAGTACAACACTGACTTTCAAGAATTCTAGCAACATAACACTTCAACAACACTGATGCAGGTTGGAATAAAGACTCATTCTTTACCAGACTAAGGCTTTCTTCCCAGGACTGGCTCATCTGCATGGCAGCTTGAACTTCCCTGTGTTCACAAAAATAGTAAACAAGCGATAAATTTCTGCTTTTTAGCATTAGGTAAATAAAGTCAAAGCTCAAGCAAACACTAGCTTCTTTCAGGAGTACTTTGCTTACCGCTCATGAGCAGTTTCTCTGTTCATCACATCTACACCCTCCTCCTGCAGGCAAGATGATCAACATTTATAAGGTGCGAGTCTGAGAAATGCCTATCTATTATCACTATACAACGTGATAACCATCTAAACACATTGTGGAATCAAAATACATGTGATGAATCAGTTCCTCTGTTGGAGTCTGATACTACCAATAGATCAACTCTGTAAGATCAATGGCCCTGTGAACTCCAAAGTGTGGTACTATAGCATGTTTATTGAGACACCATCACTCCCTATGGCTTGAGAGGGGGACAGCGGTCTGACATGCCCCTTTTTGTATGTGAGAACACTAACAAATCAGAGGTTACAGAGCCTGGTCTTACTTGTTTTATCTGATGGAGCCTGGTGCTGGGCACTCTGATGGGTGATGAGGGGACCTGTACAGTAGGATATTTATCAGAGAACATTTAACACTCAATGAAAAGTAAAATATTTGAGCAAATGTGTTCAACCCTCTTTTACCATGTTGGGTCTGTTGACAACTGTAGTGCTGTTTCTTCTGCTGCGAAGGACCTCTCGCTGGAACACTTGGGAGTTATCACTGAAATGACAAATTCACATTGTGCAAAAGTAAGTGAGGTGTCTTTGCCTGTGAAGTCAGTATAATGAAGCTACTTCAATACAAATAGAAGCATGAGTGAAATATGCAGTATATACTGAGAACATGTCATATTGAGGAACCTTAAGCCATTTATCATGGGTGCACTGTTTGATCTTCTCAAGTGTCCATCGGTCTGAATTAAAGATGGGATTTCCAGATCCAGCTCCATCTTTTCTTGCGGTAAGACTCCTGAATGGTTCATTTTGCAAGCTTACGCTGCCTACACCAAGTCATACACTTGTAAAGGCTTACCAGCTCAGTGGTGTTACATTGTTGCTCTCAAAACTTTGCAAACTTTACATGTTCCAAGCCGATGTAGCAGCTGAGCTGATGCGAGAGAGAGAGAGAGAGGCTGGCTAAGGCTGCAGGGCCCTGTCGTCTGAGTACCTCCGGTTAACCCTGGCTTTTACGCATAACAGTCGTTTATTTCATTCTTCATATCACCAAAACTGGTATATACTAAAATTACCTCTTACGTTACAAACTGTGAGCAACTTTCTTGCAGTACCGTGGCTACATACCGCACAATGGCCGGTTAGCTACAGACCCGTTAGTCTGTTGGAGTAGGACAGCTGTGGGAGACGGATGAAACGCTACCAGCTAAACTAGCAAACTACATTATAACGCGTTAAATTAGCGATATTCATCAAACTCTAACGTGGTTGAAGTAAAACTGACTCTCATAACGCGGTCGTAGCCTCTAGTAGACAGTGTGCTCGGCTAATGTAAGCTAATGTTGTTGTATTAGCTGCTCTATCTACAAGCAGCAGAGCACCTACCGGGCCTGAGAGGCTAACGAGCTAAAGTTAGCATTACTGCCTGTAGGCACAATGCCATGTCCACAGATAGGCCGGGTAAGCGTTTCACTCAATTTCCCTTTCCATAAATTTAGTGGCTACAACATCTAGGAGAAGCACACAAAACCCTGTCAGTTTTAAAAAGAAATGACGCCCAAAGAGCTGGGGTTTCTTTCTGCAGAGTGCCGCCAAGAATGAAGCAGATAGCAGATGATGACACAGGAGCTAGTAGTTGTTAGCAGCAGCAGCAGCAGTAAACTTCACGCCCCTTTTAACATTAGCAGACCTGTCCAATCAAAGGACTCCAACCACCGGCGTGCTCGGCTCCAACTACACGACCTGCACCATCAGGTCATCTGCAGTGTGACAGGTACATCTGCTCATCGTCTGGAAGAAACAGGGAAATGTGGCATCTGAAGTAGAAGTTGTTTTTACTTTTTCTATTGTGCAGCCAAGATGGAAATAACAAGTGACTTCAGATGAAAGGAGTTTATTTCTCGTTACACTTGCAAGCATCACTCCTCTGCACTCATCATACTGTTCTCCACTAACTTCTGATCGTGTTTAATCCGTTCATCTGACTATTTCTTGTGCCACCTGTAGGCTACTAACCTCTTAGTTCCCACTGGGAAAATATAAATTAATAGAAATTAAAGGGATATTCCAGCGTAAATTTAATGTAGGGTCAAACATACCGTTACACTGAGTTAAACACCCCCTGGAGAGATAAATGTTGCCGACTGCTTGTTTCTCTAGTTATACCAACTTTAATAACGACCGCACGATAGCAATACACAGAGGTCTGAGGAGCCATAAACAAACCTCAACCAAAAAGCCACTCTATAGCCACAAATAAGACTCAGAACAGCACCTAACTTCATAAACAGTACATATAGGGTCCTAGCCACAGTACTAGCCACCAAACATTTTTTAAACTTTGCCTAATTTCTTTAGCAAAGAGACCAAACACAACTCACCTCCTCTCTTCCTGCAGCCGCTTGTTTGTAGTAAGACCTCAGGCCAGTCCATTACGGACTGCTGTGGGGGGGACGCAGCTCAAAGAACATTCATGATCAATTGTTTTAACCATTTCCTTAAAGTAATAATCACCATATGTATCATTTTGTACTGCAGACGCAGTAGTTCTTCTGCCTTAGCGTCTCGGTCTGATTGCATTTCCATAAAGAAATGATCATAAATGTTCTTCCTTGAGCTGTGTGACCCCCCGCAGTCGGGATGGACTCAACTGAGGTCTCTGTACAAACAAGCGGCTGCTGGAAGAGAGTAGGTGAGTTGTGTTCAGTCTCTTTGCTAAAGAAATTAGGCAAAGTTAAAAAGATGTTTGGTGGCTAGTGCTATGGCTGGGACCTTATATGTACTGTTGATGAAGTTAGGGGCCGTTCTGAGCATTATTTGTGGCTATAGAGTGGCTTTTTGGTTGAGGTTTGTTTATGGCTCCTCAGACCTCTGTGTATTGCTATCATGTGGTTGTTACTAAAGTTGGTATAACTAGAGAAGCAAGCTGTCGGCAACATTCATCTCTCCAGGGGGTGTCTAACTCAGTGTAACAGTGTGTTTGACCCTTAATTAAATTTACGCCGGAATATCCCTTTAACACCACCTAATAGTTCAGAAAAGATATTCCTTTATTAGTCCCACAGGGAAAAATTCCAAGTTTGTAGCAGCATAAATACAAAAATATAAATTAAGGGATGAAGAAAATTAAGTTTAAAAATCTATATTCTGTAAAAAAAATATATAAACATGAGTGTTATTTACAGCTGTTATGTATTTGTGTTAATTAGAACTGTGCAACCCTAAATTTAGCATCACAGAGTCCATGTTTGCTCTGGTTGAAATCTTTGACCTATGAATAAGCACCTTTGAGTGCTTTGTTTAATGGCAACAACACTGTCAGCCCCCCCTGCTCAATAAGTTTGACTTTGATCTATCAATACCTGCACAGCAAGGGTTTTTGGTGGACCCTAGTTTTGACTAGTGGGTATAAAAAGACAAGATTTTCCAGTTTTCTTTTTTGTTGTTGTTACACAATCTTTGAGGAAGTTGTTTACCACCACCTGCAACTTTACTGAATTCCCCTGTAGTTTCACTGACTGACTGGTCACACATTATTTAATCATTCAGGATTTGGTGATACAGTATGAACAGCTTCTTGACACAACCCAACAGTCATAAGAGAGGTGGGAACATTTAATGATCTGTTTTGCAAAATTCAGTCTGGACTGGTTACAGCGATGGCACCAAAAATAAAAGCAGTTCAAAGAATAAAAACAAAACAATAAAAACATGGTTGATCATGTCTGATTGAACAACTAGCAGATGGAGTTAAAGTACTTAAAAAATGTGATTGTACAGCTTCAGTTCAGCGGTCAACCAAATATGAACACATTTGTGTACTTGACAGTTTACATACAGCATAAAAAAGGATCTCTGTCTTACGGTACATGTGAAAACACAACTGTTTTGTTCCAAAGGTTGAACACATTAACACAAGAGAGAACTTTACTTTTGAGTGAACACATACTTTACATCAGGGACAACAATTGTCAAACTTTTCTACACATTGTAACATATGAAAATCTCATCACACAGCACAAGAATATAGAAAAGCTTTCTGTCCCAAAATATACAAGCAGAATTTAAGAAAGTTTTATATCTTCTTTCATAAGTGCTCACCATAAAACAATTTCTTTATTCAACTTAAAAGCAGATATACAACAAAAAGCCGTTTTTGAAGGTCTTTGTTATTTTCTGATTTATTTACTTAAAGCTAGCAGCACTGATCCAAAATAACTCTATTGCTTAAAAAAAATAAAACAGTGTAGAGGCATAGAAGCGGGTGGCTCTGGGTTTCATGCGGTTTAACCCAGACGTGGTTCTCACTAAGGCAATCAATCTTCTCCGAAATTTAATCTACTGTGTGGGTGGTGGCAAAAACTGGCTCCTTTAAGGACCCTGAGCTGGCTGAGTACTTTTATTAAATACATTTTGAAGTGATACAAGATGCAATGGACCACAAAAGGAAAAGATAATCTTACAGTATGGTTGTTACAAACTCCTCATGCCTTGTACTTCTCCTTTCCCGTTTCACTAATGACGCAGATATGCTGAAAAAGAAAAGATCGTAAGTACTTTTAAAAGGACATACTCTTTAAAAGGTATTTCACCTTGTCAGAACTTTTTTCAATACACAGGAACAAATTTACATACACACATAACAAAAACTTTTACATTTCATATATCTATCTCTGATACTTACATTTAAATCTCTAAAGTATTCATTGTAGTCTAGTGCGTAGCCCACCACAAATTTGTCCGGGACCTCAAATCCTACAACTGAAAGAAAGGTTGCATAGATCAGTTCCTGGTATTCATGGGAGTAAACCAACAGAGACAGGAGGACAGTTTGCAAAAAGCCAAACAAACGCCCTCTTTGAACACACAGTATATACTGTATTACACGTTATATTCTGTCTTTGGCTAATAGTCCACAGAAAGCATTATGTTGGACTCACAGTCTGGTCGGTAGCCAACACTCCTTGGTGTTCTCTTCACCAACAAACTGAGGACAGAAAAACAAGTTCATTATCAGTTGTAACAAAATCCAAATACAACGGGAAAACAGTGACCAGTTAACCAGCCTCAGAGCAAAAACTAATCTGCTGATAGGTGGCATCAGAAAGTGTTTCCATAAGAGGTTGAGGGGTAGACAGTCCTATAGCAGTGATGAATGGGGTTACATTACCTTGCTACTTTAACCATTTTTGGATTGTACTGTTTGAGCAGTTGCAGTAATGTCTTCATCGTCTTCCCTGTGTCGATGATGTCCTTTAAGGCAGAGTTTGAAAGAAACTCACATTAGCAAACTCAGAACCGAAAAGTTGGCTGCTTTAGTTGGACGTAGATGGAAACATGGATACATACCTCCACAATCAAGACATTCTGTGTAAAAAGAAAGAAACATTTCAGTTAATTAAATGTGAACTTATCGTACTCTATCAGGCATGCATATCGACTTTAAAACAGCGCGACAGAAGTTTAATGCTTAGTTATCTGATAGATGTAGCTTTTTTATTAGTCAACTATCTTTGCATCCTACTATTATCTTAGCAAGAAGATAAGAATATCAGATTGAGTGGTTGGGAGAGAATCATGCAGGAATTTCTATTGGACAGCATTGATTTATTGGCAGCTAACAGAAAAACTGATTAGTTTCGCCTCGTCCTGCAGACTGTCACATGGACTGTCTGACCAACAGCCACAGATAAAGTTTCACTATTATGGTCAGAATAGTTTATGATAGTTTCATAACAATAACCGTAGATATCATTATAATCATAGTTATGAATACCGCACTTTTTACCTTGCCTGTCAGTGTTGAGAGGTCATCACCACCAATGACTTTGATTTCCCCTGTCGACTGGTCGTTCTGTGAGGACAAAAGAGAGTTTGACATGTAGCACACTATACACCAAATGCTATAAAAGGCAAAAATACTCCAAAGGGTAGCTGGCTAATGCAAAAGAATTAAGTTGATATACTTGCGGATACTTGTTTTGTATGCACAGATATGTAAACATACAGTGAACAACTTGTGTTGACTATATCAGCAAAAAATGTTTTTCTTGACCACTTGGTGTATTTTAAACGTCTTTATAAAGAATATGAGTATAAAAGGAGAACTTTAATGAAATCTAAACAAGTTTTGCTATTTATCTGAGAGAGAACAGCTACTTAATTGGAAAAAGTATATTTGAGGTGCACTTTAAACAGAAACTGGAAAAAATGGATAAAACACACTTAAAACATGTGACCCATCTATCAATTGGGCCTCTGTCTGCTCCGCTTTGCTGAATGGACAAAAAAGTAACACACACATATCTGTGTGGCCTGACTATTAGTCTACTCAGAATACTTTTTGAGGTTTGCGAGACGCTAAATCCAGCCTGTGTGTAACCTCTTTCTGCAATGATTTTATGATATAGACTGAGGAATTGGGGTCAGCAGCTGTTTATCAGTGGCTATAAACGACTCCTGAAGTAGGACAGATTGTCAAATTGCCAGAGTGTTCATTGTTCTGACCTTAGACACCTGTGGAAGCGTTCATCCCTGTTCACTTAACAACTTTATTTTAACAAAGACTTAATTGAATTTCTCGATTTTTGAAAAAGGTGTTACTGGAAAGTCCTGTTCACTGTTATAGGACCAGGACAAAGGCCACTCAAGTGTTTTTTTTCCCTGTAAATTGTGAAATACTGTCACACTAAAGTTGACTTCTAACATTTGGAGGTAAAAATCTCAGCGCCCTTTATTCTTAATCTTCTGTTAAAGGGTGTTTCTCTGAAATTTTGTAAAAATCTATTTCTCAGCTACAGCCAAGGATGATTTTGTGAGAGGTCACTGTTAGCTGGAGGGGAAGGCTTCTGTATTAATGCATGTGGCGATGAACTTAGGCTTTCTCTGCGCCTCCTGTATGCATCTTTTTGTTCCCTATCTGATTTTTAAATCACAGTTCTGAACTGTGGTTTTAAAATCACTCTCAACAGACACACTTGATCACCAGTTGATTGCACCCTAAAGCAAACCCTTCTCAGTTCAGCTGCTGAGGAGAAGGGTATGTTAGAGACAGTTAGTGTTTGTGTCCATGGCAACATCAGCAACAGTGGGTTTGCTAACCAGCATCTGTTCTGTACAAATACTGAAAAATAAAGTGGTTCTAGTCCTGTTGCTAAAAAAGTTTCATCTGATCAAACAAACAAGCAAACAAGAATAATTGAGATTACACAGTAGCTCTTTAGGCGAATGAAGTCCACTGTCATTGGGATGGAGCGATCACTGTTCCTGTTTAAGGCCTTGATGTAGTCCAGCAGGTCTGCGAAGAACTTGTAACCACCCTTGAGCACACAGAGGGCCACAATGTGGTGTCCCCCCATTTCCTTCATGATTTCTCTGGCCAGTCTTTCTGTCCTGTGTCATGTGGGGGCAAAAGAAAGAGAGAGAGAGAGAGAGAGAGCGAGCGAGAGAGAACGAGAGAGAGAGAGAGGGACAGAGGGAGGAGGGTCAGCTCAGTTTTCTGCTACAGTCAGCAGTAGTTCCCCTGTCCACTCTGTTTGTTCAGCAGGCACAGCTGTCATTTTCTAAAGCACTTAAAAAGTGTCCATCAAGGCAAACTACCAAAGTGCTACAGGTTATCTGCATTCATGATGACATCCCAAATCTGAGAGCAAGAGCTCCAACGAGGAGAAGAATGAAATTCACACATAAAAATTTAATAAATGCTATTCAATTTTTTTTTCATTATTTAACATTATCTACAAATCAGCCTTTACTAAGAATCTCAGAGGCCGCCACCAGTTATACGACCCTGAAATTCATCCTGTTTCACAATCCCTCCCCAATCAAGTCACCTGTCCAAGATAAGTCCATGTGGGATATAGACCCTCTCCAGGTCAGCAGCGTAATGCTTTGGTATGCAGAAGAGGTCCAGGTCATAACCCTGCTCCTCATCACTGATCTGAAATGAAACGACACCAAGGGGTTAAAATCTCAGAAAAAAAAAACGAGGGGATTACCTAACATGGGGCACTGTGCCTTCACCTGATACAGGGTCAGTGCGAGGGGAACGGGATGAGATTAATGTGTTTTTCACTTCACATCTCAAACTCGGAGGGTAGTGTCTAAATCTGCACACAGTAGCATTATTAATCATCAACTTTTTCAGGACCAGACTCCCACAGGAAAGGGATTTTTTCTGTTATCCAGTCATCATTTAAGTATCGTCAAACAGTTAAGTATTTTTCACTGAGCGGCCTCTCCAGAAACCACAGATACCTCAGTCTGTAAATGCTGAGAAGTATTTCTTATTGATTTAGGAAATCAGATTTCCTGCTCAAACACAGATGCCTGCTAGATGAACCCAAACAACATAACTGGTATCATGTGACAGATGGGTAGATGTTGCTGAGGGAAAGACGTGTGTTTTTCAGCATAATCCCAACAGATGTTACAAACAAGATCTAACAACATCCTATCTTACCAATACTACAGTGAAAAGCGCCTGTCCTTGAACCACAATACAGTGTTACCCCCTCATGCCCTCAAATAGTGAAATCCTGACCATCTGTTTGGGCTTTACCTTTCTAGTCTAAATGATAATGACTGAGACCAAACAGATGTCCTCAAGGTAACATGATCCGAGGAGTATTTTCCTCGGTTACACACAGCATTGTTGCCTTTTATTTGAAGAAACAAAGCTGCACCATAACCACAATAAAATGTTTGTTAGGATCAAGAGCAGAGCCAACTTTAATACTCAAGTTAACTGAATAATACACAGGGACTTCAAAATGTGACTGTCTCCTGCTCCAAAAGCATTAAGGCTTGCAGCCCCTCAGTATCAGCAGTAGCGGCTGCATATCTGATGGATGTCACCACCACAGAGCAAAAGCTTTCACGGCCTGAAACGTCCTAGAAAAGACAGCACATTGGTTATTTATTTACTCATTCCAGTGCTGGAGCCGTTGTTATCTAGTGAACTTTACCGCTCTGACCTATGGTGGACCCTTGTGCTGAAAGGGAATTTGTTAGATAAACATGCATAAAATACATACATATTTCTCTGCCTTTTTTGATTGTTTAGTCCCTCTGAATCACATGGTAAACAGCTCCAATTGATGAATGAAGGGGACTCTGACATAGACATTTTTTTTTTATTACACTTTGCAAGAGACGTCATTTTGATTTGACCTCTGTCATATCCTCAGACACTAAACAGGACCAAATGTTAATGTTTGTCAGGGACTTAACAACTACTGTATCTAACAAATCACCCTTCTTTTCCACATGATGTGTATTTTACTGAATTTGAGAGTATTAGAATGTCAGCCTGATGGACAAATAACCCGTGGACATGATATTTGAAGCCAATCACCCAGATGTACTGCCATATATATATATATACACACATAAACATAGTGTATGGTAATTATAGCACAGGTTAAAGCTGTTCACGTCCTTACACGCCCCCTCGTTAGGAGCTCGTGTATTTCAGATTTAAGTGTTGTTGTTTACATCTCTGTAATTTTATAAATACAACCTGAAACCTACAGTCAGACATTGAACCTTCACTTATAACACGGATCCGTCCAAAAGCGTTCATTGCGTCATTTCGGCAAAGCGTGGCATGCGCGTGTCTGTGACTGTCCCTCTCGCCGCAGGCCACTACAGGAGAAACCCATAGCACCACCGTGATCAACATTAAAACCAGTTACCAAGGTCAACAAAGCTCTACAGACAACTATCAACAAATTTAGGTTATTTTTCCAGTGAACGCAGCAGTGCCCATGTTAGTCTCAGTGTTACTCCAGTGTGCGTGGATAGAGGGACCCACGACCATCTTCTGTCTCAGGTTTCATCCCGGCTGTTAGGAGAATCTTACCACAACACAGGAGCTGGATGTCGCCATGTCCGTGTCAGTCCTCGTCGCTTGATAATATAATCTACAATGGTCTCTAGAGACAGAATATAGAATTTCTACAGAGATTGGTTTGGCGGACTCTTCACCCTTGTGACAGCAGCACACACATGGGAGCGGCTAGCTCCGTTGCTACAGAAGTGTGTCCTCCTGCCTTTTTCCGGGCTCGGCTGCACAGCTCTACTGAAGCGCTACCGTGAGCGATGCGATGACGTAAACACGCAGTGGACAAATCAAATGGGCAAGATCAGCTAAGCTCCACCCTAGTTTAGTGGAAAGATGCGCGGGCCAATAGTATCTTGTATGCAGACTGCAACATGCTACAGGTCCCGCCTACTCACACAGGTTTCGCCCATCTCCTGCAGCCTGCAGACGGAGCGCTCTCGCGGGCTTTAGAGAGGACGCTTCCCACGTTCACTGATGTACACAGTCATTCACAGGCTTGAATTAGAGGCATCTCAGTTTGTTTCTGTCTACGTTTATCGGTACAGATAATGGTATTAAACACAATATAAAGCTCTGTTCCATATGCCTACACTTTTAATTTCTGACTTCTATACGCAGTCAGTAGTAAATGTGAGGACCACAGAGCTGCTTTAGACTTTCAGAGGAAAACAGTTCACCACAGTTCACCTTTTATGGTGATGGTGATATAGCTGAGTAGCTGTGTCCCGGAAATAAACATAGACTTTAAAAGTGATTAAAACTAATTATGTTGGTCATTATCTAAATTAAATAACAGTATAGAAACAGCACAGTTAAATTTGTCAGCTTAAACTAAATCATAAATTGTGGTTTCTGGATCTTTTGACATTTAAGAACTGACTTCTTGGTTCTTTTGGGTTTCTGTCTAATGAGGATGTCTTAGGGGCAGGCAGATGGGAGCACACTGTTTCTCCTCTGCATCCCAATATGATATGAGATGAAGTTTTAAAATTAACTTCAAAAGCTTAAGTCAGAAACTATGTCAACTATGAGTGCCAGTGAAGGTTTAACAATTAGATTTGTAGTGAAAATTGATGATAAACTAGAACAACATCAGTGCCCTTCTACTCTAACTTTTTGCATATTTACTCTCAATACATTAAACCAGGGCTTGAGATGATTTTAAGAACTTTTTCTGTGTTGACTTTGACGCCCCCTATAGACAGAGCATTAACCTCTGTGTTGGGCTGATGTTGCCTCCTCCATGAGAAAGTGGTGTTAAAAATCCTCTGTCTAATTACATTCAGCTTGAATATTTTAAAGTGACAATGACTGTTCTTTTGCGTACCTACAGCAGTGAAGAGTGAGGCCAGTGGATCGTGTGTGAACAGTCATGAAAACTTGGAACATCAGTGTGTCTGACATTGTCGCTTGTTCCGAATTTCTCACACTTCGAACATCAAAACCTTTTAAACTTACCATCACCTGCCATGACTACTGCTTTATGCATTGAGAAGTATCCCACTGAGCAATAGATGGCTATTAGACGTCTAGTTTTTTTTAGACCCAATTCTGTATATTTTTAGACATTGCACTGTAACCCATTATTCAATAACTATTTACTTCAAAAACCAACTGTGAGTTGCATAACTGATCTCCAAGTACTTAACCAAAATAATTATGATAGCTGTTGAGCAATATACAGTGTAGTATAGATATAGCCCAGATTTAGATTTAGTCTAAACTTGGTCTAAATTTAGACATCTAAAAAACTTTCATTTTTAGACCCGTGGTAGCCTGACTTTAGACCAGTAATCTAGGCTACATTTAGATATCTATTAGACCTCTTTTAGACCTAAAAATGCTCAGTGGGATATAAACACATTTGAAAAAAAAAACAAACAAAAAAAACAAGATTCAATTCTCTCATAAAATGTGTAAAATAAAATCATTTCTATTTCCAACCATCCATGGGTACATTTGTAGAGACACAAGTAACAAGTACATCAAAGAAAGTCAAGCCAACTCTTCCAAAGAGCTCTACTTTGCTCTTAAGCAGCTAAATAAAAAAAGCCACCTTTAACAGTGGAAAAGTACAAGTGCATGCTGGCAAAACTTGTTACTGTGACTGTCTGAAATCCAGATATTCAAAGTTACTCATGATGATACAGTAGCAAAATATTACATATCAAGAAAAAGGCTAACATCAAAAGAGTATTTTAAGACATGATTACAGAAACAAAGTAATCAAACTGCACAACTTTATAGACTAGTAACAAAACAGACCCCTCTTAAAAGGGAGTCCTTTGGGATCTAAGGAAGAGCAAGAATGTATTGACTTCAGCAAGTGTGGGTCATGTAGTCCTTGGGAGCATGTGTGGTAAGTGACAATCAAAAGATCAGTCCATCAGATCTTATTCACTGCAATGATACAAGTGTTTGAAATTGGCCCCCTGAACTTGACTCTCCAGAAGTTTAGAGTTCGCTCTTCATGATCCTGCAGAAGTCCAGAGCTCTGCACAGAACCACCAGTGAAAAAACTCAAAAAAGGTTTAATGTAGACAACATCTGGAGGCTATTCGGGCATCCCGTCCATTTACTGGAAGAAGCCGTGCATACAAACTGTAGAGGCTTGAAGAGCACGACTTTGTGAGTAGGCTAAGATATAGTATAAAACGTTTCACTCCCTCGTCTTTGAATCCTTGTTTTCACCCAGGTTGTGTCCAAAAGGCCAACCTGAAAGAACAGCATCAATAAATTAGCAGGATGCTCTTCAAACCCAATGACTCCTGTTTAACTCAAGCTTTTTTTTTTTTTTTTTTTTTAAGAAGTAAATTTCACGATAAATGTACCTAGTTGCCGTTGACTTGCATTGATGGTGTTCCCCCATGGTCAATTGCTGCTCTCTCTCGACTGCGGTTCTCTCGCTCCTCGTCTTCCTCATCCCTCTCCTCGTTGCCACTGTGGTTCTTACAATATAGTCTAAGAATAAAAAATACACACATTAGGTTTTCAAGATGGTGAAATTAGGTTGGGATCATGATTTTTTCAAAGCTCAGTAAGGGAAAGTGAAGTTGTTTAGACTTCACAGTTTTCAGGCAAGGCTTTAGGTTTATTTCTGGTGGACTTCACCTTTAATTCTACGCTATAAAAGCATTTGAGGAATTAAAAGAAACATATTCCTGGCAGTCACATGTAAAACTTGACAGTCTTTCAGTGATTGCAGGATTATCTCTGGAAAGTAGAGCTCACTTGTAGATGCCACGCGCCATGTTTTCAATGTACTTGGCTTTGTCCTGCAGGCCACAATGATAGTGATAGGTCTTGACACATGCCTTGATTTCACACCCAATGGTCGCACCCAGCTGAGTGCAGAGTGTGCATTTCTGGAAGGAAAAACAAATTAAAACCAACATTATTTTGTGACACAATGAAATAAATGTCAAACTGTTTAAAAACCCGGTTAAAATGAACAGCAAACGTTCCCACCATTCTTTTTCCTCTCTTTATTTCTTGGATGACTGTTTTCACATCAAAGTTCCCAAATTCGGCTCGTGATGTTGTGGTCAGCTGCACAGTCCCCGATGAGAAAAGCTAAGAGGGATCAACACATTACAAGAGATGTGAGGAAGACTATTGTCAAGGCACATGTGTCGCAAAAACCCCAAAGTAACAGCCTTACCATGCATTTGTAGTGTGCAGCCACCTTTTTAGAATTATCAGTATGAAGCATTCCCCTTGTTTCATTCTCTTCATCACCTGCGTGGCAAAAGCCGCAGCGCTGGCCTCCATCACCTGGACTAGCCCGCAGAGGGGACCTGTCCCGCTACATTATAACGCAACACTTAGAACACGTACAGTGAAGGGAGTAAATTTCACATTTATATTGAGTGATCAAATATGTTGCCTTACATGGGAGGAACTTTCTTCATCTGCAGCCTGCGAGGAGGCAGAGCGGGTGTCTTCTGATTGGCCACGAGATCCAACCTTGGCTCTCCCCTTGTCAAACCTTCCCCTGCCTCTACTTTGTGGAGGTGATGTGTCGGAGTCATTGGCCACCCCTTCCTCTCCATCTGTGGTTTTACAGTGTAGCATTGAAGAACATTTCTCATTGATGGACAACTGGGCAGCAACAGTTTCCTTAAGGTTATATAATTAAAGCAAGCTGAATTTATGTGGCCTGGGTGTCATGGTGCACAGACGGTTTAAAGCATGTCTCACCTTGAAGTCCATCATGAGATGCATCCCGGTGTTTGCGGCAGTATACACTGTTTTGGAGCAAAAATAAATACATTTTTATCCAATGCAACAGAGAAACATCTTTATTTTTTTGTTGTAGTAGATTAAGATATTGCAAAACAAAAAGGCAAAGTGAATTACAGGTAAATCCCTTGAGAGGGATTCTCTTTGATCTGGGCTTTATCCTTCACAGCGCAGTAATAGTGATACGTCCTCCGGCACGTCTTCACATCACAGCCGATTGTAGCACCTGGTCTGTGACACGAAGAGCACATCTGAAAGAAACAGACCTTCATCATTCTGGATATTACTTATTCCAAAACACAACATTTTTACGTTCATTTGAAATAACTGTGTACTAAGGATTTAATGTGATTGTATAATTACGGTATTAATAATACAGATTTTCAAGAGATGACATGTCACTAGCAGAAAAACTGTCAAAAATAACAACATCATAAGACTGTCATCTCTGCTGTGGGAAATTTCAGATGAAAGAAAGAAACCACCTTATATTTACAAGAGCAAAGAAGCACACAAGAAAGCCCAGAGAGGAGCTACACATCAGCAGGAAAGTCAACTTTAATGGGCTGCAGGATAAGTTACACATCCAGTATTCATCGAGTCAGCGTTCATGATCTCTTTGAAATAGAGATCAACCCTAAAATGTATACACGGATTAAATATGAAAGAATAGGTATAGGAAACATACATAAGCATTGCACCTTAAATATATGGAACAATATACAGTATATTGACCAGAGAGCAAAAACCTGTAAATTCATCAAAACATGGAATCCTAAACCTCAGACAGATAAGACCGAAGGAGAGATAGGACACAAGAGAGACCTGATGTGACACTATGAGCAGCGCACCATGATCACAAAGAATACAAGTCAAGACAAAATCAATTGAGAATCTACAATTTGAAGAACCACACATTCTAGAAACAGCATGTTTCATTGCATGTAACACTCTTATGAATTGTTACTAAGAATTCAAAGTAGCTTCAGTGATGGTTCCACTTAAGTATGTTAAAAAAACAACTGGAAATTCTATCCAAGAAATGCAGTGTGTTTTTTGTGTACAATTAGTCAACTGAAGTAAAGAGTGGTCTTCTGTATTACTGTGACCCAGCTCTCTAACAGCTATTCTGACATCAAAATAAAAGCAACGACCGAAATCATTGTTCAATATTGTGATATCAATAAGAAGTACATTTACATTTAATAGTAGCTATGGTGTCCTATCACTGAAAGCTCAACCATCTTGTCTTCCAGTATTCCTCTTCCACTCCTCTAATGAACTCCAAACTGTGAGGGGCAGAGGTGACTTACCAGTTTATTTCCCCTCTTGATCTCTTTTTTCACATCCTCGATGGAAAATCCCCCAATGTTTTCACTGTCTGAGGGAGATGTGACCAAGGCAGAGGAGAAAAGCTGCAAAGCACATTCATTTTCAAAGTATTACTTCATTTATGCATTTTTTTCTTATGATGATGAAAATGAAAATATCTATGCTGTAATTCCTCTTCATTCTGCTGGTTTCAATTTTACCAAACAGTGTCGGTATTAACAGATTGTACTTGCTTCATCAGCAGCAGAGCTAACTTCACAGTGATAAACTTAACTTGTGCTAAAAGAATTTAAAAAATCACAGTTTATTTTTTGACATATACACTCTTTGACAATACCAACCTATGGAACAACAAAACATGAAAAAATCCACAGGTTAGCTCGTCTGAACAGTTCACACTTCTGGAGATGTGAGAAGAAACTGTCTTAAAGAACCACAGGCGAAAAAAGGGCTGAGAACAATGTGCTCTTCTCACCATGCACTTATGGTGGGCTGCCACCTTCTGGCTGTCAGACACCAGCAGCTGCCCGCACTCCTTATCCCAGTTGGTTCTACAGAAGGCACATTTGGGCAGCTTAGCTGCAGCTCCTTTTCTCTGTCCTGACATTTCCAAAGGCTTCTTTTGGCCAGAGTCTTTGGTTAAAACAAATCAAGGAGAGAAGGACAAGTTTATTTTGCAGTAAAAATGATGATAAACGCCTGTTTAAAGAGTCATTATTAGGAGCAGTGTCATTAAGCACCACAGCCTCATCACATCATAGATACTTCTCTGTATGCTCATAATCCAGTTTATTATCACAGCTCACACCTGACTCTACCTGGAGGAATTTTTAACCCATAGATTTATGATGCTCTGAGCCATTGGCAATGTATATGATAAGTTTGGTGATCTTACACATTAGCAGCAAGCTTACAGAGTTTCGAGTGGTCCAGCAGCGAATCTATTTTACAAAAGCATAAATCTTTGTAAATTGCATACTGGCTGCCAAATGTTCAAGTAAATTAAGGGAAACTGTGCCCCAGAAATCTGCTTCTTCGCCCACTTAATATGAATATTATGGAACAATGAATAAAACCTTTTGGGCAGAAGCTATCACAAACTCTTTCCCCAAAACTGCTAGAAACGACGCATCCAAAATTGAACAACTGCTCATACAGGAAAAGCCCTTGACATCATATGTGGGGCTCAAATCTGTTATAGGACGACTGTGCGACTCTTCCTTTACCTTTGACACCTCCAATGACCGATGGAGAGCTTCTGTATGTGAACCACACTCAAACAAACCTGTGCTAAAACAGCTGATCATTGCTGAGATCATTCAAGAACCTGCTCATGATTGAGAAGGATTATCAATCGATGATGTATAGTTTGTTAATGTTTAATGTGGAAGTTGCCAAATTAACAAGACTGAACAGTCATCCAAGACATATGTCCATCATATAAAAACCCCATGAGTAGATGTTTTTATTTGTCTTACTGTAGAATGATAAGATATGCTTCTCATGTTGCACAAATACCCTGCCACACTACAACATGTCCAATGCACAACTTAAAGAATTAAATTAAATTAGATATGAAATGTTTTAGATTGTGTAGCCTGCTGTGATAAGCAGAAAGTCTTACACAAAAGCTGGCACTCGGATGCTCAAATATATGTATTGATATCCTTAAGTTACAGCTGTATTGAATTATGTGTGTATCTTATTTTCCTTCTTAAAAACAAAAAAGAGAGGCTTTATCTTGTATGAGTAGATACAACCTCCAAATTTGTGCTGTCATTTGCAGAGATAGCCTGTTTCATTGCGTCAGTGATGCACCTCAGGAGCTACAGACAGTCTAGATCAAATATGAGAATTATACACACAATCAGTCTTTTCTGAGCCACAAAGCAAAGTGGGTGTTTTTCTTTTCTTTTCTGTTTTTAATCACAAAAGCAATGTTCTGCGACGCCTTGATAGAGCTATTACAGCCATGATAACAGGGCCAGGATTTCACTGCGGCGGCGGCTCCAGCGGCGGAGCCAGCGTGCAAACACACAAGACTGTCCGTGTAAATAACAGCAAATATCTTTGATTTCCACCTCTGCTCCTCACTTTCACACTCTCATAACACAATCCTGGACTATATAGCGACGATCAACCGATTTACAACGCCAACAAGTTCATCAGGAAAGTAGCTCCAATTCCTCCTCCAAGTTTTGAATTAAAGGGGGTGTGTGCCTCAATCTCCAACAAACTGGCTATAACAGAAAATATCTTTCACTATGAACATCTCAACGCCCAGAAATCTCTCCCAGGGCCTATTCATGAAGGAAAATAAAGGTCGAGGGAAGGAAAATACAGCTCTTAGTTTTTCTGTAGAGGTAAAATCCGAATAACTGTGAATATTTCCCTTTAAATGTGGGAAATTATCATGACAGGCGCGGGTCTTCGTAAACCGTTTCGAAGTAAAGAGCGCCATACGTGATGTTTCCCTGCGAAAAGAGAGCGGCTCAGACTGGACGACAGCAATACGGCCTCAAACCACAATAGGCCACACAACACAGGGGGCTACAACCGGGACGAGGAGACACAGCTCACAACTTACCTGCTGATGGGATTCCCCCCCTGATACCAAAAAAGATAGCAAAGAGTTCCGAGCACTGGCTGTGTTTCTTTCCGTCCTTCAGAAGTGATCGTGGGCTTTTCAGACTAGCATAAAGATAGCAGCGATCTACCAGGCAGCTACACTTCCGGTTGGTAGCTTTCAAAATAAAAGTCTGCTTCGTAAGTCCGTGCTGCAGTGTTTAAAACTTGAAAAGATGTATAAGGTTAAAATATTGAGAACACCGCTTTGGGAGGGAAAAAAGGACTAAAAACTGTAGGTTTAAGTAACACAAAAGTTGCGATGGAATAAAGTTGATTTAGGGTTTTAGCTGGTAGTTTCGTTTTTATGAATGAAAGTAAAAATAAATGCTAAAATGTGTTTTTCTCGTGAAAATGCGGATACTTTTTTTTAAACATAGAAGTGATAATTAAAGTTGTGTCCCCGGACATTTTTGTCTTTAATTTACAGTGTAAAGTGGATTTAAAAAGACGTTGTTCTATTTTGCAAGACATTCTGAATACAGACTGAGTTGATTTAGTTAATTGAATATATTTCCAATCCAGTCCACTCCAGGTTTATTTATAAAGCACATTTAAAAACAACAAAATGCTGACCAAAGTGCTGTACAGTTAAATTAAAAACAATAAAAAAAAAAGACAATTGACATGAACAATAAAACAAAGACACGGGAACACATTAAAAACAGAGGGGCATAGATATTGAACGTTATGTTATTTTTTTTTTCTTTTTCTCTGAGGCCAATACAGTTATCATTTGTTTGAGTTTGGCTCTTCCGTGTTATTCTCCTCCAGTAGATTAGCAAATGATGTCCTCAAATATAATCACAAACCGCATGTATGTTTCAGTTTTAGAACAACTATTTAACTTGTTGCTAGGGAAACACGATTCAGTATTTTTCCAGGAAGTCTCTATGTAAAAGAAGTCACTTTAATGAGAAGTGTTTAACAAAAAAACGAAACTATTTCTGAGTTTAAATTAAATGCCAATTCTGCTCAGTGAAATTAAGGTGCACTCAATTTGAGTTGCGGGGCAGGCCGGGTGACGGGGCCCACCAGAAGTCTTGAAGTCTTGTACTCACTGTAAATTGACAAGAAACGAAACACACGCACCCACGGTAGAGTGGGAGTTTCTCCTGCGTCGCTTGGTCAAAATGATTGGCTAAAATTGATGTCAGTCTTTATGTAAAGCAAAACATACCCACCCAGTGTCCCCGGGCTGAAGAGAGGACGGGAGTTTGAACAGTAGAAAACAGGGAAATGAAGTTGTCAGACAGGCCAGCCCAGCAGCAGCAGCAGCAGCTTCTCTCTCTGTACATCTAGGCAGCTAGCAAGTTAGGTGACAGGCGGTCACGGGCAGAGAGATTTTCATGAAATATCACAGCGATGAAGGTCGCACTCTTGAGAAACTTGTAGCTACAGTTGGAAGACTGGAACAGCTACGAGCATAGATGTGAGATAAGGCTACAGACATTTCAAAGTAAAGAGCGATACGCTGGGGGGAAAAGTGGAGACAACTTGCTAGCCTGTTAGCTAACCTTTAGCCACCGAGCCTCCTTCAGCCTCGAAACTAGAGTTCACACGGTGAGTCTTGACAGCTTGGACTGAATATTTCAGCAGTTTGCTACGTGTGTTTTCCTCGGTTCTGTTCGTCAGTGTTCAGACACTAGTTTGCTTGTTTCTTGTCACAGCTAACTAGGTCACAAGCTAACCAAACTTTAATGTGGAGAGTCGCTGTGACGGCAACGTTGATAGTTTTAACGCTTTATTCTCTGCGTTTTATCTGTTTAGGTGATAAAGTCAACTTTTAGTGTCACGTTGAGAAACTATTAAAGCATAAAAAAGCAGTCACAGAAGGGTTATTGTGTTGCTTATACCCTCTTTGTCTTTGTAAACTTAGTTGTGCAAGTTAACCTCTGTGACAGTAGCTTCATATCCGCACTCTTATGGCATATAAATGTTGACTTTAAAGTTTTGATCTCTTGTCAGACAGTGTCATTTACTGGGCTTGTGTCTTTAATTTCCTCAGGTGAAAGCTCCTCAGCCATTTTCTCCTGCTGAGGTACAGGAAGTTACTTTAATTGCAGATCTGAAACAGTGTCTTATTCAACCAGGGACTGGGGACCTTTGCAGCCATGCCTTTTCCTTTTGGGAAATCTCAGAAGAATCCAGCTGAAATAGTGAGGAGTTTGAAGGAGAATGTGGCTTATATGGAAAAGTTGGATGCAGCAGACAGCAAAAAGTGCGAAAAGGTGAGCAATGCGTTCTCCTGTCTGATATTTAAGATTCAGTTCTTGTTGATATTCAAGGTCTTTAAACACATTCCCTTATTATTAAGATTGCAGAGGAGGCATCCAAACATCTGGCCTCCCTGAAGGAGATACTCAGTGGAACAGGGGACAAAGAGCCTCAAACCGAAGCAGTGGCTCAGCTTGCACAGGAGCTGTACAATACCAACCTCCTGATTTCTCTCATTGCAAACCTTCAGAAGATTGACTTTGAGGTGAGGAATTGAGTTATTTGTTATGCTGACTTAAATAAAATCAAAAACTACCATAGAGTGGGGCAAAACTGTGGTAGAAAGAAATTAATTTGTGTGCCACCAGCACCCAGACTATCATGTGTCTGATCTTTCTTTTCTTCTACAGGGGAAGAAGGATGTGGTTCATTTGTTCAGCAACATTGTGAGACGTCAGATTGGCACCCGCACACCCACTGTAGAATACATCTCTACACACCCACAGATCCTCTTCATGCTTCTGAAAGGGTAATGTCATCCTGTAAAGGAACTGGAACTTAGTATTTGAGAAAAGTTTCATGTAGTGTTGTGTATATGTTGTTAAGTTTGTAATACTTTAGAAAGTTTTGAACTATGACCAAATAGTTTTGTCGTAGTTACTCTAAAACGTATTTTTGAGAACGATGTTCCCTTAACATGCCTTGTGATTTTCTGCATTACCTGGTATGTGTTTCAACAACTCCCAGAGAGGCGAGCGCGAACATGTTGCATTCAGCTGTGGGTTACACATGTAGATGACAGGAGTGATAGTCAAATGCTGATATCACAGTTCAAAATAACCCAGTCATCCAGGCTTACTAAAAGAGCACTATGTATTGTGGCTGGACTGCGTTGGGGTTGAATGTTGATGGATCAATTGTTATACTTTGCCAATTGCCACTTCTGGAATGGATTTATCCTGTTATGGTTTTGCACTTGTCGTGTCTATCGAGGTGAGCCTTCAGACTGATTTTCTGGGTGGTCACAAACAGGAATTTTTCAAATGGATGTTTTTTTTTAGACATTTGGATTACTCTCATCAGGTACAGACAAAACACCTCATCATGGGTGGGGAGGTCTAGAAGAATACTTTTCATTGACAAAATCCAAATGTGAAGCCTCATGAATGTATCATATTTTGGGTGTATCTCTCAGGTGTATAAGTAACTTACTATTATCTGCTTTGGTTAGCATTACATCAACCGTGTTTTTAACTGATTTAAGTTGAAATCTGATGATGCTGATGACTTGGCATGGACTTGACATGTGTTAACGTGTGCAGATACGAGAGTGCCGAGGTGGCTCTGAACTGTGGAATGATGCTGAGAGAGTGCCTGCGGCACGAGCCTTTGGCACGGACCGTGCTCTTTTCTGAAGATTTTTACTGCTTCTTCCGTTATGTGGAGCTGTCAACCTTCGACATCGCCTCAGATGCTTTCGCTTCATTCAAGGTACGTGTCGCTGTTTCTTCATTTTATCCTCGTAAGAAGAACTTTTTCATCTGATGTTTTGGGTTTCCTCTGCTCTATCACAGGACCTCCTCACAAGACACAAGATTATGTGTGCAGATTTCCTGGAGAATAATTATGACAGGGTGAGCTTTATAAAGTTAATTTATAAGTTTAAATATTGCTGTATTGTGTCTAACATACTTTAAAAATGTTTTCTCTAGGTGTTCACAGAATATGAGAAGCTCTTGCATTCTGACAACTATGTAACCAAACGTCAGTCTCTGAAGGTAAAAGCTCCACTGCTGTCAGATCAAAATCACTTTTATTTCAAGATAAATGCAAGTCTAATCCACAGTTACCTTACTGTGTTGAGCGGGCAGTGTTTTGAATAAATTTTAAGTGTTAAAAAGTTATTTTCCGTTTTCTAGCTCCTTGGGGAACTTCTGCTGGATAGACACAACTTCACTGTCATGACAAAGTACATCAGCCGAGCAGAGAATTTAAAGCTGATGATGAATATGCTGAGAGACAACAGCCGAAACATCCAGTTTGAAGCTTTCCATGTCTTCAAGGTGTGCACTTAACAGGCACAGTTTACTTTTGTATCATTCATGTTGCACTGTGAAATTTGACATACAGTTTTGGAGGAAATCTGGGCTGATGCATTATTTCAATTTTATGTAATCATTGATTTTTTTAAAATGAGTTTGTACATAGGTAACTTTCTGATTTTTGAATGCAACTCTCTACAAATTGTAATTTCATCTGAGCTGTCTTTGAACTTTGTAGGTTTTTGTTGCAAACCCAAACAAGACTCAGCCCGTGCTGGACATACTGCTGAAGAACCAGACCAAACTCGTAGAATTCCTGAGCCATTTCCAGACTGACAGAGCGGAGGACGAGCAGTTCTGTGACGAGAAGAACTATCTGATTAAGCAGATCCGTGACCTAAAGAGGCCCACTGCAGCAGAGGAAGCTTAAAGAAGCAAGGTTGGCTGCTCCATCAGGTTGTAGATGTATATGTGGTGGCTGGAGCTGCAGAGGGTGGAGCAAACGCATAGACGTGCTTTATTATGAGTCAATATTAACTACAAAATATAAGAAGAAAAAATAATAACTTCCTTCATTTTTGTTTTTGTGTGGATGTGGAGGTGATTTTCATCCACTGCTACCTGATTGGGCCGAGAACTGTTATTAAACCATAGTGCTCCTTCTTAGATGATAATGACATGCTTTCAGTCTGTTCTTGTAATGTCGGACCTTAAACTGTTACCCTTCCACACACTTTGTTGCTGGGCCCCATTCACAGCCAACACTCTGAGCTCTGAGGTGCTCTTTAAATCTTTCTCAGAAACTTTTCCATATTTTAGTGATTGAAAAGCTTGAAGAGCCCGTATATTATTATTTTTTTAATGTAGCTTTATAGTAAACAGTTTAAAGCATAAAGTACCTTTTCTCTCTGAGCACTGTTTAGTCTGACAAAATATATTACATTTAGTTTCTTGCCTTGTTGTAAGCAGTTGTGTTGTACAGGTTATGAATGATTTGATACACGGCTTTGGCGGAGTGACGTGAACCATGTTGGCCCAGGTCAGCACATAGTTGGTTTTGGAGATTAATGCGTGGCTGTTAAAGCCTTGGATTGCATGTGTGAGAGGTGACAGAGGTCAGGAATGATCATGCAGTGCCGTTTTTTTGCAGATGCATTAGCTGGAACAGGAAGAGAAAATCAAAACCGTAGAAGAATCAATTAATTGTGCTGTGATTTTGAGGCTGCGCTCAGCGAGGCTTACATGACTGAAATAGAAACAAGGCATCAGATAATGCTGCAGGGTACCAGCCATCCATTCCCCGCTAACATGAACTGCCAGGATATACCAATTGATCTTACTGGGAGCACTTCATTTCGTCTGCACAAACTGAGCAAAGATAGCAGTGATTAATTTAAAACAGTGACTTTACTAACCATAACTTCATGAGGTATTTAATGACTTGATGAATGTCATAGAGATTTCTTATGTACAGCTTGAGCACTGCGTAACACAAGAGATACTGTATTATTGCAGTGTACACTGAGGTGTTGCCCACAAGGATGCATCATTAGTATGTTACACTTAATCTGTGATGTTGACATAAGCACAAAATGCCTTCTACTGTTTTTACACTGGACTGGAGAATCAGGCTGACTTCAGGTATTGGAAATGTTCTTTTGCTCAAACTAACTGGACCATCTGAATCTTGTGTTGATTGTCACTCCTCCTCAAACAGTTGATTTTTTTTTTTAAAACTTCAAATAAGCCATTTAAAAGGATGGAGGCGGCTGCTTCAGCCCATACAGGGTTTTAAATACAGTGATTTTGACAAATTCCTCTATGATCATCATTTTTATGATCATCAATGTCGGTAGAATATCCTGCAACATGCTGGTGATGCATCAGGAAGGACACCCAATCTGATAACGACCACATAAACTGTTAAAACAAGAATGAGTTTGTTTTGGATGGTGAGCACTGAATTTATTTAACTCCTCACATGCAACACTGATTGGTAACCCTTCTGTTAAAGATGTCACAGTCGGAATAATTGCCTTACTTCAGCCATTGTCACTCAAATGGCATATTAGGGATTTCAAAGAATTGATTGTCTGTACGCACAGTCTTCTAGTATATACCTCATGGAATTTGAGTTTGCAAATGCTGTGTTCTTTTTACTCTCCTTCCTCAGCAAGATATTTTATTTCACAATTTCAAAGGCACAATAGTGGTTTGTATGCATGCCTGAACTTGATATAGAAGTTCAAACTAGAACAGGGACTGCAACCTGGTTTTCACAATGGAAAGCTAGATTTTAAACTAAAATATTTCATTTGATGGTGCCACACAAAGCTTAATTCATAATGAATTGCAGTATGGTACCTGGTGATGAACTTTGCCTTATTTAAAGACATTTAATAGATGGTAATGATTATGTAAATTTCCAGACCGCTTAATTCGTTTTTAAACCAAAGTCACTATTGAAAGGGTAAAATGTACATTTCAAGAAAAAAACAAAACATGACTAGTTGATTTCTCAGATCCAGATGTAGTGTGTTTGTAACCCGCTGCTTTCTGCTTTAATGCTACTCTGTGAGTGTAGATGTATTTTTTTAGTAAAGATCAACCAACTACAAGAGGAGTAGTTTTTCAACAGTGACTGCCTGGCTGTAGAGAAAACTCTTTCTGGTAGTCTTCTCCAGGTGGTCACAGGTAGCGTTAGGCCTTTACAGATCCATGCAGTGATTTGACAGATATGCTGTGATTGTGCTGCAGCATGCTTATATAGACTGAAGTCCTTCACACAGTGCACAGTTGAGGAAAAAGTTTGCCTCAAACAAAAGTTTCTATGGTTTTCAACATTTCAACTCCTCTGTGATCATGTTTTTCGACTTTTAAGTTTTCAAACGGTGTTGATGCAATGGACTCAACCCTCATGCACAGTAGTCATTACAAACATCTGTCTGACCACAAACAAACTTAGAGCTAGCTGACGTACAGAAGTTACATAACAGGCTACCCTTAGTAACAATACCCAGGATCACAGCACTTTTATGTAACAAATGACTCTCATTTTATATCAATGATCTAAAATATTCCTAGACTGTGAAGATTGAGGTGCAAACAAACTTTCTCTTCAGCTTTGAGGTGCACTTTGGGAAGGACATGCTGTACACAAACATCCCATCAGAGGGAGCTGTTTGCAACAATTGGCACCGTGTAGAAGTTGTACAAACAAAGCATTTCATGTTTCTTAGCCCTACCTCTGAGTATATAAATCAGTGGTAATATTTTATAGACATCTACACAAATTCCTTCAGATCAATGCTATATATATATATATTTTATGATTTAGAGCTTTCTGTTAAAATCTTGGTTGTGCTTTACTTTTTTACTTTGTTGCCTTCTTTTTCCCTTCTCTTTCCACTTATGGATATTTTCTTTACCATGGGAGCGAAATATGTGTAAATAACTTTATAAAGGATAAAGTGTGAGAGCATTCATTAAAATAAAACCTTATGGAAATGTTTTTTGTGTGTGGCTTGAAACATTGATCGACATCCATGGGACTTGTGTTTTTGTTTCATTTGTCATAACCAACAACAACTGACTAATTGATATACGTTGTTAAGTAAGCTGAAAAATATTTTTTTTATTTTATTTTAATGGTATATAAACCCAATATTAATAAAAAGATAAACATGGAGGCCCTCTAAGAATAAAGTGGCCTGTATATCTAGCTAAATGTTATCTTGGAAAATACCTTCCAGGTTTACAGGTACAGCTCAAAACATTAGCATGTCCTAAAAAAGTTCATTTTTCCTCATAATTTTAAAAAGTGGACCTTCTATATAGATTCATCACACACAAAGTGAAATATTTCAAGACTTAGTTTTATTTCAATCTTGATGACAGTTTAAAGGTCATCAAAAAGCCACTATCTCACAATGTTTGGATATTGTTGAAAAGTCCAGTTCTTGCCAGTTCTTATTGTCCTGTAATTAGCTCTAATCAGCTAATGTGCTCTGAACACCTGCAAAGGTTTACTGAGCCTATAAATTCTCTCACTCTGGTTCAGTACACATTATTAAATTTTAGGGAGCTGTAAACGGTAATCATCAAGATTCAAACAAAATAGTCTTGAAATATTTCACTTTGTGTGATAAATCTAAGACATTGAAGTGTCTTTTTCTGAATTAAATTATGGGGAAAAATCAGCTGTTTTTCAGGACATTCTCTTTTTTGAGCTGTACCTGTATGTTAAAGTGTGAACAGAGGAAACCAGATCATAATTACTAAAAACTTGGTTTCTTTTAACCCCGTTCATCAAGGAGCGAGTAAGTGAAATACTTATTTATCTGACTTTTGCATAACATCCTCAGCTTCTTTGGCAGCACCTTGACTTTAACAACAGTGCGTTTTTTTGTGGGAAATTTTACCTTTGAAAATAATAAATGAAGCTAAAGAGACCAGCATGCTTGTATGTTTCTTTCATATTTATCTGTAAAACACAATAGTGAATGTTTGAAGTTACTTTTGACCTTTGGGAACATAAAATAATGTGCTGTGACTGTTCAGTCAGAGATGCTGGTGTGCTGACATTATTAAGTTTTATAGATTTGAATGACGAATCAACTGAAAAAGAGATATACATTGAAATACTGCATGTTTTGGATGTTTCCCTGCTCCAACACACCTGACTCAAATGATCAGCTCGTTATCAAGCTCTGTAATGGCTTAATAACGAGCTGATCATTTGAATCAGGTGTGTTGGAGCAGGGAAACATCCAAAACATGCAAGACGGGAGGGCTCGAGGACTGGACTTGAGAACCACTGCACTAACTGTTGATACCAAGTGTATCACTAGTGAAGGGTTCAGCTAAAAAGAGCCCCTCCTCCCAGGTTTACGTAAAGCGGTGTTGTCTGCCCAGTTCATAACACTGGGACACATTCCACAGCCCACAGGAGGTATCCCACTAAAGGCCTGTTCAATAAACTGTCCCTCTATTGTCTTGTGTGGATCAATTGTTATTCAAACAAATTTGTCAAAACTAGACTTTTTTTCTCTAGGCTGGGTAATTTTTGTGATGTAGAAGAAATCATGATAGAAACTGATTAGTCATTGACCAACACTGGTGTTAAGGACCCAAATAAAACCTCCTACTCCATCACAATCAGGATCTGTGAGATTAAACATGAATAAACCGTCAAAATGGGCATCTGTGTGCCTTAAACTGCACCAATCACAGCCTATAGTAGAAGAGAAAAAAACAGTATGGGAAAGTAGGTCAAAGTTCACTCAGAGAATATAAGGCACGTAAGGCAACGCTGTTCCCACATTGGAGGGAGTGCCACCCTGCTCTGGAAACGACCTGCTCTCGGTTTGTTTTAGTTTGTTATCATCTTTGTAAACCATACCAATCCAAAACCAGAGATACTGAGTGATATTTGTTAGCATGTAGAGTGGGATGGCAGAGGGACGAGCTCCTGCAGACAGAGCAGAAGACTGTGGGGGCAGGGTTTACAGGGGTTAAAGGTCATAAGCCTCCTGGGTTTCTTTGACCAGCAAAGCGCCGAATGGATGTGCGAGATGGGTTAATAAAACTATCCATAAGTCCAGGCTGTAAAGTTGGAGTTTCAGGGGAAAGTTCTCATTTGGATGCATCGTGGGAAGAAAGTAAGTGGACATTTGTTTGTAGGAAGGCAGGAACGTGTTTAGGAGAGGACTTAATGACGATATATCCGCTAAGACTGCGTCGCCTGCGCTCCTCTCCCCACCCCCACAAAGAAAGAAACAACAAAAAAGATGCTCTCACAATTTCATGCATGACAGAACTTTTTGTGTGAGCAAAAGGGTAGCAAAGAGAGCTGCCGAGGGGACAACATCTGCGGGTGAAGGTGCGCAGTAATGTTGGAGTTTTTTTTTTCTTAATGCATGATGGTCAGCGATTCATCCAGTCGAATAAACCTCAACACAAGCCAAAGGTAAGCTGTCTGCAACTTCTCCTTATTTCAACACAGAGTAGTGACACACGTGGTCGGTACAGCACGAAAGAAGAATTTAATATCCTTGGTTAGATTTTTAGAAAAGGTCTGAAAAGTGTCGGATTGGTTCATTTCGCTCCATCTGTTGATTTATCAAAGAGAGTTGGGGAGTGGGCTATGGTCAATATCTTCTGTACGAACCTCAGTGTAAAATGTAAATAAAGGCTGTAGGCTAGACCTCAACCTTTCCCGTAATAGTCCAATAATCAGATCTATATATCTTCCTGTAAATGTGATCTGTTTTCTCTAAGTTAATTTGTATATGTCTTTGGTTAATTCACGATGTGGTTTACACAGACTGTTGTATCCAAAGTTACACATTCATCCAGCCACTGATCAGTAGCTGGAACCTTTTTATAGAATTAATATGGTTAAATATAAAATAAAATAAACAAAAACGGATGTGATTTCCACTTCGATGCATTATCTAACTGAGGGGGGGTTGGCGTGTTCATCGTCCTAACACTGGGCGCAGTTGGCGCCACTTTGTGAAAGCTGCACAGAAAAAAAGCGCTCCAGGTGGATTTCTAAGATCTTCATGGGACTATCTCACCAAGTCTCACGATGATGTGATTTTGTTGGAAGTAAAGATGGTGGTCTAGCTATCGCAACTTTTTTTTAAACCCCATATTTTAAATATGGGGTTTGCTTTGACGAGCTATCAACCTGTTAACTCTTAGATTTCCCACAGCCCCTAAACATTCCACAAGTATAAATCCAGGGCAGAACCACATTCACTCTCTGTGTTAAAAGTTAGTACACTAACTTAGGTTGCTCGATAAAAGTGATATTGTACCCAATTACCATGTTAAGATTTCTATCGACTAAATGGGGAAGAAATTACTAAGTTTCTAAATATAATGATAATATCTGTAGTGCTTTTTATCAGTGACCTCAAAGCACTTTACATTGGATACATCATTCATTTACACACACACAGTCACACTATGGTGGTTGTGAACTACCTTAGTAGTCACAGACACTGTTGATGAAGAAAAGGTGACTAGATGGAGAAGTATTTAATCTCAAGAGTCCTAACTTTGACTTAAAATGAAAATACAGCACTTTATAATCCTCATTAAATTGCATTTGTGGTCTGAAGGTGTATGGCTGCAGAAACTGTTAGGTTCTTTATTATCTTAAATGTCTAAAGGTGTTTAATTAGATGTTTCATTTTATGTATCTCCAATATATACTCCTGATTCTACAGCTTTTTCTTCATTAACAGCTAAAAACCCTCAAACAGCTGATGTAAATATTTGTCTTCAATTTTCTCCACTGATCTGCTCTGTTCTTTTTCAGATGCTCCTGTCTGGCAGATTTGGGAGTGATCCATCAGATCTCTCTTCTGACCTCCCCTTTCATGGTCCTCCAGCTAAGGTGCATCTAGTGTAGTTAGTGAAGTAGTTCAGTATCTACTGCCCTGGTTGCCCCTTCTGGCTGGAGGACTTGTTCTTAGTCTGAGAATTCGTTGGCCTCTTCACCAGGAAGACGACTTCATCTGTTTGAAAGACCCTCTTTCTGACACTTGTAGTTCTGCAAGTGAGACTCCACCATTCAAACACTTGGCAATGTTTGACTTGTAAGCGAGGAAAATGTCTTAATCAGATCAGAAGCGACTCTGTGTCTTTTGGTACTTGGATGCTGCAGTTCCAAAGTGCTCACAGTGCAGGTAGTACATACTGATCTACTGCAGTTTGTGCACTTCAGGTATTGCAGGTCACCTTCCCTCATTCATCAACCTTGGTAAACCTGAAGGTGAAACTCTGATGGGTTCACGGTGAGTTTTGTTGGTTTGCCCCCAGCTTGTGCCAGTTTCTGCTGTGCAAATCCATGCAAAGCTCACTGTGTCTCAGACAAGCAGCCAAAGGAAGAGATCTGGGTTTTGCAGTTTTTTTCAAGCTTTGATGAACACTTGAAAGACTGAACTCATAATCACTACTGGCACAGGAGAGCAGCCATTGTTTTCCCCTTCCCAATGCAGACTTTTTCCTGTGACTCTGCTATTTATCTTGTTGTTTTCAGGTGGATGACTTCACAATTTCAATACTCCACACAATGACAGAAATTGCACAGTATCCATCTGCAATCCGCCAGATGTTATCAGCAGCTGCTCATATATAAGCTTCTGATGATTTGTGTAGAAATACAGTTTAACTTTTGTTTTAGTGGATGTGTTTGTGGCTTTGAGGACTTAGTTTTATCTGCGGAGAAGATGTGTAATAAATATTGCACTTGCTGGTGCCTGATAAGAACAATGAACACTAGGTGGCGCCATTTCAATTAAATTGGGTTGATGGAGGATGAAGGAGTGACAAAAGTGAGCGTCCACTGAGGGGGAAATCTGTGTTGGATAAAGTGCCATTTTGGTATAAGGGTATGACGAAAGAGTATAGACACATGCTGGCTTTATTTATAGATCTGTAAAAGTCTCTTTTGCCGTCTGTACTCTCCATGCTACTGCATAATAAAAGCGCATTTCAGATCACGCTCTGCCTCTGTCTTTGCTATTGTAATATATGTGCATTGCCTGGCCACAGTGTGCACCTGTACCATGTTGGGTGAATGTAAACTACACAGGTTTTGCGCCCTAATTGCATCCCATAGCACACTGTGCCATTCATCTAACACGTCAACAGCGCATGCAACGCATGAACCCCCTCCTCATTTTGCTGCCCCTGCAGCCTCAGCGGGCCGGTGTGTCGGCTAACATCACTTCTCTTACTCGAGCCACCTCAGTGCGCGTATGCTCATGCCGTGGCGCGCGCTTTTTTGAGCAAGCGCGCGCATGTATCCGGGGCTTGTTCATCAGTGCAGCGAGCTGAAAGTCAGTGCCGCAAGTGAAGAAGGGCTCAGAAGTTACCGTCATCGGAGAAGCTTCACCAAGAGGCTGAACTGAGTAGCTGCCCAGGCAGGAGGGTCGTTTAGGGAGAAAAGACCGAAGGATGCTGATCCAACCTGCGCCTGCTGCTACAGAGTCACCTTATCAGAGCAAACACGGGATCCTTTTGTAACTTTTACTGTGCTGAAGTCAATCTCAGCTGTTTGCCGCTTTATTCTCTCCGGTTCGGTTGATTGTTTTTCACCTGCCATGCGTCCTCCACGAGTCCACAGTGCGCTTTTCCTGTGCGCCTTCATCCAGCTGGTCTCCCTGCTCGGCGGACAGGTGCCAAACTGCCAGGAGGTGCGCACGGTGTTTCACTCTCTGCATCCGGGCTCTAAGTGGGTCCCCGAAAACCCAGTGTCAGGTAACTATCAACTTCAATCGTATACACGTGCATTACAAGATATAAGTGCGGCTCTGAACAGCATGTTCCTCTGATAAAGCTTTTTATAGACTGCTGTGATTTCAGCTCTTACCGTGAATACTCATCCTTAGTTGCACTTCTCAGAGAACAGGACCATCACAGCAGCATCTCCTAACTATCGAACCTTTTCAGTCCCAACTCAAGGATGCTGGCAGTGAGAGTCAACCCACACACACTCTCCATCCCTTTGGCTGAACATATACTCACCTGCAAAGCAGCGAAGTGAAGTGGGCTATTCCATAAAAGTAAAGGTTGAATCATAAACCATCAGCTAAGAGTGAAATAACAGACACAGAGTTGATTCACTTTGTTATTCATCCTCACATGGAGGCAAAGCACCTTTCCTGATGTCTATCTTTTTTATTTTTTAGTACTTCTGAAAAGTTAAAGCAGATGTTGAAGGCTTTTTTCACGAGGATTAGGTTGGCAGGGTGTACTGCACTGAAAGCAAAAGATTAGCACTCCTCCTTTTCAACAGCTGATTAATGCTCATGTTCAGGCTCAGTTAGCAGCTTTGTCTTCCTCACATTGTCACAGAATATTGAGTAGTGTTGTGATATGAATTGTGACCACCCTGAAAACTAATTTGTCATCATCCAAGTCAGATAATTATTGTTCCCTGAAGCTCAAATGTCACTGACTCTGCCTTGGAAGAGCAAAGAACTCATCTTTCCAGAAGTGGTTTGACTTTTAAGAGAGGAGTTTTAATGGGAAAATAATTCAAGTCTGTGGGTTAAAAGGTAAAGTTAGAAAAGCCATCTGCTGCAGAACATAACACGGTGGTTTGCTGCTGGAGCCTGTTGCATGCATTCTGATTGACTATGTAAATGGAGAGCCCTCTCATGTGGCTGAATCACAGCCTGCCGCAAATGTGAAATGGGCGTTTTAGTGTCATGTCAGCACGGATGGGTGCTGCAGGTTAACTACCTCTCAACTCTTCGCATGCAATTCTTACATCGCTCACTGCCACAGACCCTAAAGAGGTTTACCAAATAATCCACAATGTTCAGTGAACATGAAAGACTGTAACTGATCACAACATGCTTTAAATCTAACAGCAGGGAATATCTGCAATGCACTTTGAAGCATATTTTGTCACGCTCCCTCTACCCTATTTTAATCTCCCATCTGTGGGTGCATGCGGCTCCGACCGCTGAGCCCTACACATCCCCATCCATCCATCTTTAATCACACCCCCTCCTCCTACACCATCGAGCATTTTATCTGCCAGCCAAAGGGGAATCATTGTAGGAGCTGAGAGAAACATTTAGCCTCCCTAAATATGAGGCCGAGCAGCTCAGCAGTCTAACCAACACCAGGGAAAACTCTGAGCTGGACACTCTGCACACAGGGCCGCTCACAACCACTTAAAATCACTGGAAATCACTTCACCAGTTACAGGACAATCCATCGCGCACAGTTAAGAGGTAGTATAGTGTCCGCTTTCAAATAATACCCGTTGCTGATTTTGTTATTTTAGCCTCTTGTAAGTAAGTGGCTTTTAAGACAATGTGTTTTAATTTTATGATTAAAGCTTTATGGGATTTTTTTTAGCTGGTTATTCAACAGACTGATATTAATGCCTCTACATAGCCCACAAAAGCAAACCAGACCATCAGCATGGAGATTGATTATGTCTGTAGTTATTTTTAATGCCTGTAACCACTGCCACAGGGTTGGTGTCACATGAGCTGATTAACAACACAGTGCGGCTAACACAGTCATATTTACACTTTCACTTCTTAGTAGGGGAGATTCACAGGGAGAACGGGAGGATTTTTATCATCACAGGATACTTATGCATGTACAGGAGGACAAGATCAGCATGACATACCATTTTACCCGCAGGGGTCAACAGAGATTAACACAACTGAAAGTTTCTCACAGCAGCTTCATGGAAAGTGATTCTGATGTCGGTCTCAGAGACCCGGGTGTATAAAACCTGGTTAAAGACAACAAACTTCACTAATTCCTTGATTCGGCATTCGTATTATCAAAAGTATACAGCTCTACCTTTACAAGTCATAAAAATTTGGTAAGATTTCAGTTTTTAAGTTCACTATAGCTCAACAGAGGTTTAACAGTCGAGTTACAGCTCCCTGTTATCAGAAAGGAACTACATTTAAATCAGGATGAGCTGATGTGTGTATTTTCAGATAGAATTTATAACTTATACAACATTAACTCTCATTTGGTTTGATAAAAATATCGTACAATCATTTGCATATCTTCATAAAAATGTGTCTGTTAACAGAAAAGGAGCAGTCCTCCAAATGTTTTCATGTTCTAAGTTTAATAATTTTGTAGGATTTGCATAATTTAATTTTGCACAGTTATTACTGTATCTATACACTATCATTTCCCTGTTAAGTATATTTATACCTTTAAATCTTTATATTGATTAACATGAAGAGTTTAATTTATGATGAACATTTTTTTAACTTGTTCTTTTAGGGTACAAAACATGGCAACATTTTATATCAAGGTTATTGTAATAAGCATCAATGAATAATTAATAAGCCACTTACAAGACCTTGAAAGATGGTTATAAATATTTATAGGTGTTGTTAAGTGTTTATAAAGCATAATTAACACATTAACTATGGCTTGTAAGACACTTACAGGTTCTCCAGGGAAACATGTTAACATCATTGTAACAGTCATAAACATTTATAGGGTGTTTATTTACATTATTTGGACTTTATCAGGGTTCATTCAAAATTAATTTACATATTCAATTATCAGCTTGTAAGACACTTGCAGAAAACATAATACCAATCACAGTATATGCAGTATTTAAAAATTAAGTGGATTTGTATCTTCATTAACATAGCTTAATGAACCTTTATTAAACTCTCACTGGAGTCTTGTTAAAAATGTGAAACTCCTGTGAGTAACTTTCAACTTGTGTCAAAGCAGTCTTTGCTTATCGTGTCCTCTCGATGCACAGGCGGTTTATTTTGACAAAAAATCTCATCCTGTTGATTTTTGATGGTTAAATTTATCATGTGCTGCAAATACTTTTTGTGTAAAATGTCAAAACAGGGCTTTTTCTTCAGCTGCTCGGCCAGCACCTGCCCCCTCACACCAGTGTCAGGTATTATAAATTACAATATGAACATCATTAGTGATGTTGCTGATGGTCTTGTTTGCTTTTGAACATTATTAAAGGCATCTGTATGAGTATCAATTTACTTCACGACTGTCAAAAAACTCCTCACAGGAGCTTTAAAGACCACTTATTGACTGTATTAGGATGTTATTTAACATTAGTTAACATCCTATTGATGTTAATGACAGATATATAAACTGTTAATTTTCCAGTAAGAACCTATCAGTGTCCTTTAAGTCATAATAAATGTCTTAATAAAGCTCTATAAACATTTATTGACACTAATAAATACTTTATAAATGGTTTATCAACTATTAATTAATGCTCATCTGGAGGACTTTAAGTGTTACCCATAATACTGATACAGATTATAATAACTGTGCAGCATAAAAAGCTGGAGACTTAAACCTCTGACAAAAATGTAATTAAACATTCCCAAACTCACGGTCTCAGAGCAATGTCAAGATGTCACTCTAGCAACAAAAGCAGTAAAATATTATGGGGTATAATTCCAGGACCTACAGCCTTGACAGAGAAAGGAAGGGTTTGGTTTTGCAGAGAGAGAAACTATTTAACTCCAAGGTTTTTTTTTTTCTGACTTTGACAGAATTAGTACTTTAAAAGTTGTGAAATTATCCAGTAACTCTCTGGAAATTAAGAGGAGTTTGTGACGATAG